AAGTCTGCAAAAATTTAAGTTTTTATTCCTTTGTTTTCAAAATATTAGATAATAGTTTTGCGTTTTTTTTCCTTCAAAATTCCATTGTTTGATTTAACTTCTTTGTAGGATTCGATCCCTACCTTGAATAAAAAATTGATGGTGTCAAAACATATAGAATCATCGTCAATTCGTCATTCCTATAAAAATAGGATTCGATTCCAACCTTCAATATTCCTATATGTTGTAGGAATCGTTGATTCCAATTTCCTTAAAATAGACATAAGACAACATGTATAAGAAAAAGAATAGAACATTTTTTGCTAAACTAAATGTTTTAAATTTCGATAAACTAATATTTTCTGATCGAGACCTTATTCATTAGCCAGTAATTAATTAGACATGAAGATCATTCCATTGATGCTCATTGCCTTAGTCATACTATTGACACCATTTCCGGCTTCCATCGAAGCTGTCCGTTTGGGTAGTTGTGAAAATGAGCTTCAAATATGCAGAAGCTTGATCAAGAAAAGACTCACTCCGGACGAAAACCGCAAGCATAATATTTGTTGTGATAATCTGTTAAAGCCAAAAGCATGTATGTGTTTGTTTATGAAGTACCCTAAGCTAACGGAACCTGCTTTGTCTTTTATGCGTTCTTGTGGACGGGGTGTTGGACCAGATCCCATCTCTGATTTCTGTTAAAAATCTATAGAATTTTCAAAAATATTATAAATATAGAATATTTTCTGAAAATGTAACTAATTGCTTAATTTTGAAAAGACCACTTTTCATATGTTTTATAAGATAGTTAAAAAATTATGTAAGATTTTTAAGATATTTATAAAAATGTTATTTATAATGTTTTATACACTTTGATAAGACATGTAGATAAAATGATAGAAAAAAATTAAATTCTCTTAGTGATACTTTCAAATGAGGCTCCCAAAAATAGTACAACCTTCTCAGAGTTTTCCAAAAATCCTACTACAGATATTTTGGAAGTCCCTAAATTGAATTAACCTTATCCTTTATTAAAAATTACATCAAATTGCCATTATAAATAAGGTTTTTCAAAAAATAATATTAACAACAGTCCTCAAGGATACAAATCTTAAATACTCTATGCAATTTAATTACTTTATGAAAACGAAAATATATTAATAATTTTTAAAAATATTTAATGACCAATCAAATTGAAAAAATAAGATTACATATCTTACTTTTCTATATTAATTTGTCATCAATATACTCCAGCTCTATCTTTTTTTTATTCTATATTTATGAAACAAACAAATAGTCATATCCTCGATATAATAAAAAATAGATTTTTTTGGCATATGTCATGATTTGAAATTTTTAAAATGAATATAAATTGTTTAGCAATGAAACACCGTCATCCTTCATTGCAACTTTATTATAGACCGCCTCTCCAACTCCTAGTGGTGGGCGAAAGACAAGTATTCGCTATTTTAGTGATATGTGCTGCTTGACCCTATAATTTTTGTGTTATAAACAAGCAAGTACTTTCTAAAAAAATGTTTTATTTGTAAATTATAATGTGTTCCGTCCTACTCAAAACCACAAACGATCTCCCGTTCTAATGACATTCAATTCTATATTTCTACAGTGATGATGATAATATTTAGAGGATTCACACCAAAAAAAAAAAAATATTTAGAGGATGACTATTAGTAAAAAATTTCTATATGTATTATGTATATAGAAAAATTGGTTTCATACCTATTCATAAATTTTACTAATGAATGTTAGAGAATCAAATACCCTAATTTCAGGAAAAATGGTAGTGTATGTGGAGAGATATAAACAAATTGATTTGATTTGATTTTTTAAGGTTCACGGTATCAGATTCCGACATACGATTCACCAGAACAGTGCAAAAAAATATGGTTATGATGTTGCATACATGACACATATTAGTTAGTGCATGTCACCATGCAAATATGGTGATCATGTCGTGGCCTATACTGGGTGTATTAAGTAGCCATCATTTTCTCATTAGAAAAATACTCCCTCTGTTCCTAGAAGATTGATTTTCTAGAGATTTCACATTTCTTAAGAAACAATCATTGCTTAATTATTTACTTTTATTAAACATTTTTTAATAAACTATGAACCAATAGTAATCTGAAACAGTTAATCATGACGTCTTGAAATCTACGATATATTAAAATCAATTAATTAAAAATAAAAAAAATCTAGAAAATCAATCTTTGTGGAACAAAGTAAAAACACTAGAACATCAAATTTCAAGGAACAGAGAGAGTATGAAATTTGCGAAAGAAAGGAAATTCTAATTTCAATTGTTCTAGAAAAAGTTACAAAACAAAAGATTGAAATAGATTGTATTAAGTTAAGTTTCTTTTTGTTTTTCTGTATTTTCAATATATTGTTGTATTATATAGAAAGTGTTTTTTATATATTTGATTTCCATTTTGCTAATTCAAATTCTTCAAAGGGTCTTAACAAAAATCAATTCTAGTCAAACCTATATATTTATCTATTTTAGCTTTACTATATAAACAAATTCAAAATTATAATGAATACAAAATGATAATTTTCTATATATTGTTATTTTGAACAATATATAGAAAATGGAATTTAAAACTATTTTAAACGAAAATAATTCTAGTCAAATATTTATTTATCTATTATTAGCTTTACTATGTAAAAAATTCAAAATTTTAATATAACACAAAATGATATTTTCTAAATATTATTATTTGAAAATGGAAACTAAAATTATTTTCAAGGAAAACAAATTCTAGTCAAATATCTAATTTTCTATTATTACTTTTACTATATAAACAAATTCAAAATTCTAATGAAATACAAAATGATATTTTTCTATATATTGTTATTTTGAAAATGGAAACTAAATCTATTTTAAATAAAAACAAGTTTTAGTCAAATATCTATTTATCTATTTTTATATTTACCATATAAGAAAAAATTAAAATTTTAATGAAATAAATTTATTTTTATTTATATTTTTAATATGAAAACGGAAAGCAAAAATATTTAAAAAAAAAATAAAAACTAATTTTACTCAAATATCTATTTATCTATTTTTATAAATAGATAAATTTTTGGATGCTGTGGAAGCGTGTGAAACAGATTCATTGATTGAACAGAATGAATTGATTCAAGAACAAGACGAGAATCATTCCATGGATTCTGTTCTGGAACCTAGTTTTGTTCAGCATGTGTGTTCACCTCTAAAACATCAGTCGCTATTTGATCTTGGAATTACTACGAGAGGTGCACACCAAGTATTTGATACAATTCCAACAAGAAGAGAAGTTTTATCAAAGGGACACAAGAAAACGTTTCACAAGTCGTGGAGGTTCAAGTTCAAAGCAACATCACAACCAAGAGAATTAATACAAGGAGAACCATGGATTCAAGCGCTAAAGAAAAATAATCCGTTTCAGGATTTGAGAGAGAGAGACCAGACAGTAGCTACAGATTGGCTGGAAGGAACTTGGTTCTTTACTGATAAATCAAAGGACATTCAAACCAGCAACTCAAGCGATGGTAAGCTGCACTTTGATTCCTACAAACTGTTCGACAATAGGTTCATTAGAAGCCACAGATTCCAGCAAAGGAGGAAGCGGCGTTTATCTCCTAAATCATGGATGTTTAAGTATAAAAGGGACGACAAGAAACTGCAGGCACTTACATGTTCCAAGCATATGAGAAGGGTTGTTTCTCAACAAATGAGAATGGTTGAGACATCTAGTGATTTGTTGTTGTTGAAGGGGAAGGATAGTCCAGCATGGACTGCCAGTGGATTCGAATTAAAGGCAGATGATATAGCTTCGTCAAGTCAAGAGGGAAGCGAGTTGTGTACAGAAAAGAAAGAGGAAGTGAAAGGCTACTTCGATCGTTTTCAAGCGTTGGTTCTAATGAAAGGTATCACAGATAGTTCATCTAGTGAGGAAGAATTGATAAAAGAAGAAGCAGATTCTGTGAAAGTAAATGAAGTGAAGATGGAGACACAGATTGTTGATAGAGAAATGTCACCATCGATTGTAGTCTTGGAAACAGGAATGGAAGAGATGCTTGGATCACATGTGACGGTGGCTTTTGTTTTGAGACAAACAGCAATCTCATACTCTCAGTGTATTAATCACAACTTGTTCGAAACAACGCTTCTTAGGTTGCAGAGTAAGCAGAACTGGATTTTTAAATTCAAAACCAGCTCAAAGGACTACAAACTGCAAATTGAAGTTAAGAAATGGGACGTTAACAACCGAGTTTGGGATCCCGGAGGTTCAGTTTTTCAGGAATTTCTCGTTCAAGCTGAAGCTACAATGAAATTGTGGTTCTGGTTAAATAGTCGAATGTGGATGAGAGTGAGATTCTTCTTTTTGGGAGTTAAAAAGGGTTCAGGATAGCTTCTTCTTCTTGAGGGCAACGTTTCCATATCCACTCAACTTCTTTGGTTGTCTATAACGTGTTGCTTAGGGAACCAGAATACATTTTGGAGCATAAAATGGTTCAGCGGCAAAGTCGAGCAGCCACAATGGTCTTAATCACGTGGGAGAATGCATATGTGGATAACGATACTGAAAGTCAAGCTCCATGGGAGTTCTTGTCAATTCAATGAAGTATTATCCTTTTTCAAAACCTTGAGGTCAAGGTTTCTCGAATGGGGGAGATTTGATATAGGAAACAAGGCATTGATATATTATAGAGACACGTGGCAGTAGATGAGTGGAGACAGTAGCTATGAGACGTGGCAAGAGAAGATTGGTCGATGGAAGTTGTTAGAGGAAGAATCGAGAAGCAGAGATATATAGCAAATGAAGATCATTTGCAGAGAATAATAAGAAAATTCTGGATTTTGTTGTTTATCGTTTCTTTTGGATTCTCTCTGAGAATTGTTCCTCATCGTCGCCGGAGTTTCATCATGAACTCTTGCTGATGAGAAGTGGTGCTGCGTTACTTGCGAACGTTGTATCCATTTATCGTTATCAATAAACTCAATACTTTGTTTCCTTTATCAATATATGTAATGGCAATAAAGTATCTTGGAGTTAACAGATTTTTCCACAATCGTCTTGACGCTCAGAAACTCTACCAGGAGACTGGGAGCTTGATATCAGGTCAAACTTTGATTCTTATACTCAATTCTACTTTAAATTTTGTTGGATATTTTAAGTACATTTGTTTCTGCTTTTGTCATTTTGTTGGATATTGTTTCTTCTTTTTGCTACAAGATAGTTTCTTTGTTTAAGTCGAAAATGATTTTTCTGCAACACCTACCTCGTTTATGAATGGCTTCTTTTTTACTAGTTGAGTTGAAAACTTACTAATAAAGTTATTGAAGGAGTCAAAAGTATTGTTACTACTATAAATCTATTGGCCAAAATTGATTTATCAATCACGTTAAGATTTACTCGCTTCTCTTTTTTTTCTGGTTAAAAGATTTACATACGTCCTTATTGACTAAACCATCGCATTCATATGTTCTTACCTCTTATCTCTCTCTTTCTCTGTACCTCAAAAATGTGTCTGAATAATCTCTTGTCAATACTCTGTTTTGTCCTTGCAGCAAGCTTCTGCAGCGTGTCTGCACAATTCTGCGGGAAGTCACTGTTTTTCACACCCAATGGTACTTATGATACCAACCGTCGTCTCGTTCTCTCAACTCTTGCTTCCAATGTCAGTTCTCGAGACGGCTATTACAACGTTTCTGTGGGTGAGGGCCCTGAAAGGATCTATGCTTTAGGTCTCTGCATCCCAGGGAGTGATCCAAAGCTCTGTTCCGATTGTATCCAACCCGTTTCCCTCGCTTTATTACAAAACTGTCCAAACCAGACCGACTCATACCAGTGGGGAATTAAGACGATGCTCTGTCTTGTTCGTTACTCCAACCACTCATTTTTTAACTCTCTCAATCTACAGCCGGTGCTAAAACTTTGTAGCCCTATGAATATTACTGGGAATGTAACAGAGTTTAACAGAATTTGGGCGAATTTTATGGAGGATATGATCACAACATTAGCAGCTTCAACTTCATATGAACGCAGGCATTATGCGGCCAAGGCATCTCATCCGATAGGTTTACAGCGTATATATGCACTGATGCAGTGTATTCCAGGGGTATCTGTAGTTGACTGTGAGAGCTGTCTTCGGCAAAGTGTCCTTAAGAGCCTGGAAAACTGCAGTGGGAGGAAAGGGAGTAAAATTCGGAGGCCGACCTGCTTTTTCAGGTGGGAGTTTTATTCCTATTATGGTGCTTTCGTCGATACAGATTCTTCCCCTCCTCCAAACCCTCAAGGTCCTCAATTCCTGCCTCCCAATGCAACCGAGAACGCTATTGGTATTTTCTAAGGAACTTTAAAATGAAGCCTTATAACATATTCAAACTCCATATAACATTTTCCTTTACTCATATGTGATTCATATATGCTTTAGACCATCTCCAATGTATTTCCCTATTTTTAGCTCTATCTCTATAATAGAGGTAAGTTTTCTCTATTTTTACTCCAATATATTTCTCTATTTTTTCCTCTAAAAAGTTTAAATCTATTTATAGGAAAAAAAAATAAAGATTCTCTAGTCTATTCTTACCTCTATATATAGAGAAAAAAATAGAGATCTCTATTTTAGAGGTGAGAATAGAGTTGGGTTGGAGTAGATTTGCCTTTAAAATAGAGTTTAGAGACAAATATAGAGGTGGGTTAGAGATGCTCTTATTCACTAATAAATCTTGAAAGGACCAAAACTTGACTTGCTTTCGCAGATGGCACAAATATGTCCACAAGAACTATACTGGTAATTGTTGCCCCGGCAGCCATAATTGTGGTACTGCTTGCTCTAGGATTTGCTTATTGGAAGAGGATAAAATCATTCAAACAAATGAAACTTAAACGTAAGTTACTTTTCAATGTGGAGTAGAGGATATATATCTATTAGTCAAGATCTCTTGTCCTTTCCGTGTGTGATATTATTATCCCTAATACTTCTGCATAATAACACCACACATCCATCCATTGTGCAGCTGATGATGATATCACAAATTCACAGCCGCTACGGTATGATCTTAAGACAATCGAAGCTGCAACAAATAATTTTTCGGGCAACAACAAACTTGGTGAAGGTGGATTTGGTGTAGTTTACAAGGTACGATTTCTCTACATTCCTGATTTTCTTAATTACAATGTCTACATGAGAGCGATGAAGCCAATTTTATATATATTGGACTGTAGGGTACATTTCCAGATGGAACTGAAATTGCGGTTAAGAGACTATCAATAACTTCAAGACAAGGCTTGCAGGAGTTCACGAACGAGGTCAATGTCCTGTTAAAGCTTCAGCATAATAATCTAGTTGAGCTTCTTGGGTATTGCTTGGAAGGAGAAGAGAAGATACTCGTCTATGAGTTTTTGTCCAACAAAAGCCTCGATGTTTTCCTCTTTGGTTTGTTAACATTCCAAATTCCCAGTTTTGTGTACCTTCCTGCAGTTTAAGATGATTCCTCATCCCATCTTGACTAATGTATCGATATATACGCAGACACTATGAACCAACGGCAGCTAGACTGGACCAAACGGTACAATATCATCGAAGGGATTGCTCGAGGGATTCTGTATCTTCATCGAGATTCACGGCACAAAATCATACACCGTGATCTGAAAGTAAGCAACATCCTTCTAGATGCTGATATGAACCCCAAAATCGCGGACTTCGGCCTAGCAAAGATTTTTGCAATGGAGCAAACTCGAGCCGAGACTAGCAAGATAGCTGGAACCTAGTAAGTGGAGCTCTGAACTTAAATGAACCTTTCTTCTTCACCAATAAATGTAAGTTTTCCTGTATGTTCTGTTTTAGTGGTTACATGGCGCCCGAGTATCGAATGCACGGTCAGTTCTCAATGGAATCTGATATCTATAGCTTTGGAGTCTTGGTTCTTGAGATAATAAACGGCAAGACATGTAGCAGCATTTACCAAACAGATGGAACTTCTTGCAATTTGGTCACATATGTGAGTACTTTTTTTTTTTTTTTCCATCATGATCAAAATCTTTATGAACTATCTATTATTGTAATCACATATAAATGTTAGGCTTGGAGACTGTGGAGGAAAGGTTTGGCTTTAGAACTCATGGACTCGACTTTTGAGGAAGACTATCAAAGCGAAAAAGTCGATAGGTGCATTCATATCGCGCTTTTATGTGTTCAAGAAAACCCCGCTGATCGTCCAAATTTGTCTACAATCATCTCGATGCTCACTAGTAGCCAAATCACTCTGTCAATTCCAAACAAGCCTGGATTTTACGTACATAGTAGAAGGCTAGAAGCTGAAGGCTTAAAGTTGTTTGGCACAAACAGTTCCTTGTCCATCAACGATGATGTGTCTGTTACTCTTGTTTAGATCATCTGTTGATGGTGACTGATATTAATTATTATAATTTGATTTTGAGGCTTAGTGATGCTTCTGTACTATATTGTGTGACTTGGATATGAATGTGAACTGATGAAATCAGTAGGATTTAGGACTGTGAAGATGATTTGTGTATAAACCAAACCGGTTATTTACTAAACCGGTGTTCAGCCTTCTTCTCCTCCGGCTCATTTTCAAATTTGGCAATTTAGGGTTTCGTGACTGTTAATGAAACCTGATATAGGTGCCAAAAGCAGAGTTGTGCTCAGCTTGTATCCAGGAAGCGTCTGATGGAGTTTTCCTAACCAGACATATGCTATGGGAATTGTAATGCTGTCCGATAATCGTCTGGATGCTTCGACTACCCTGTTCTTGCCTTAAGGGTTCGAAACTTGGTGTCAGTCAGGTCAATCTTTAATCTTTACTTACTTTTGTCCTGGTTTTGCTTTACACATTGTTTGGATATGCTCAGATTAGGATTTAGGCTAACTTTGGTATCGTTAGGATTCAAGATTTAGAGTCTTTTTACTTTTTGTTTGCGGGTTTGAAAAAGTGAATGCCAAGGATGATATTGTTATTTCTATATTCAAGTTGAATGATTTGTCAACAATGCTTCTTCATGTATAAATGGTTTTGGTATTACTCTTTTGTGCTGAGAAAGTAATAAGATAAGCTATTGAAAGTGTCAAAATATTACTAATTTTGTTTCTTTGGATTGCTCAAATTGTTGGTTGACAAATTATAAAGAATGTTATTGAAGGTATCAAAGTATTATAATTGGAAAGCTAAGATTGAATCATTAGTTTGACCAAAAGTTGTAGACTTTCCTTATGAACGAAACCAATGATATAACTCATATCACTCTGCTTCGTTGATGAGATTCATTCAACAAGCATAGTGGGCGTGTAGTCTGGCTGCATCTCACATCATCAACATTTTTGAAACTTCAAACATTGCTTTTATAAACATAAAACACATCAGCTCTTTGCTATGATTGGCTCTCTGATTATGTCTATGCTTGGACTTAGCTTTTATAATGCAGTGGACATGTCAGTTTGGCAACTTGCAGAGAGAACTCAATTGCTATTAAACTGATATGAAATGTACGGATATGCATATACTAACCCAAAAAAATTCGTACAATTATGAGAAAAGCCAAGAAGATTTCCTTATCGATCTTCTTGTTTGTTCTTATATGCATAAAGGCTGTTGCTTTTTCACCACTCTGCATTGATGACAATGGGTTTGAACCCCCCAGTATTCTTTATAAAACTTACAGCCGCGACATCCTTTCAAATCTTTTTTCTAATGTGACGGCTCCAAGATTCTTCTACAATGCTTCCATCGGCCAAGATGAGAACACTGTGTACGCAATGGGGATGTGCATCACAAAGAGTGAACCAACGGTTTGTTCCGATTGTATCAAAGCCGCGACTGATGAGTTAAAGAGTTGTCCTAACCAGGCAGAAGCGTATAAATGGCGGTCAGCTCATAACGCGCTTTGTTTTGCACGTTACTCTAACCGTTCCTTTTCGAGAACGTCCGCCCTGGGCATCGAGATGCACCCGCTTTACAAGGAGTGGAATAGTAACGAAATCAAGACAGATTTAACTTTGGAAAGTTTTGAGGAAACTAAATGGAATTCATTTATTAGAAATTTGGTAACTAAGGCTTCCAATGAAAGCGACGCATTACTGTCTAACCGTAAATACTATGCAACTGGTGAATTATTCTTGACAAATTTTCAGTCTGTATACGCATTAATGCAATGCATTCCAGTTCTATCATCAGAACTTTGTGGATCCTGTCTAGAAGCGAGTGTGTTAGAATATAGAACTTCCGGCTGCCGTGGGACACAAAGTGGAATTATTGCACGGCCAAGATGTTTTTTCCGGTGGGATATGCAACCCTTCAGTGGAGCTTTTGATCCTGGTGAGTCCTCAAACTGCAAAAACTATTATTGCAATAACTTGTCTAAATTCATTTTCATTTTCTGTAGACCGAAAAGATCTGAAACATATTCAACCTAGCAAGAAAATCTCAACGACAATCTTCATAGCGGCTGTTGGTCTCACCGCCCTTCTCTCCTTTGTATTGTCTGCTGTAGTACTTGTACTAATTTTCAGAAGGAGAAAGTCAAACCCACCACCTGATTCTCCAAGTGAGTTGATTCATGTTTTCCTCACCATTTCCTTTCTGATTTCATCAAAATTAAGGCACACTGCCTGATCTGAAAAACAGTTAGCTAGCCAATGCTTATTATGTAGAACTTAGAAAATGCTTCGGTGACTGACAGCAAAAGTTTTAGTGATTAGACAAAGAAATATCACTACAGTTTCAAACTGTGTGTTCTGCTTATGTTTCGAGTAATTATACAAACAATTCCGTGTTGCAGAGGGTATTCCAACTACATATTCACTGCAATACGATCTGAAGACAATTCAGGCTGCAACATGTACATTTTCAAAGAGCAACATGCTCGGTCAAGGTGGATTTGGAGAAGTTTTCAAGGTTAACTTCTTCTGTTTCAAGATTTTTTTTATTTCTCTTGAAACTCTGTGCATGTGATCTAAATTCTGTCTACTCCATATTATCTGTAGGGTTTACTTCAGGACGGGTCAGAAATTGCGGTGAAGAGGCTGTCAAAAGAATCAGCACAAGGTGTACAAGAGTTCAAGAATGAGACTAGTCTCGTGGCAAAGCTTCAGCACAGAAATTTGGTTGGAGTTCTCGGGTTTTGTATGGAAGGAGAAGAAAAGATACTCGTTTACGAATTTGTTCCAAACAAAAGCCTCGACCAGTTCTTGTTTGGTATCTTGCATACAACACTCAGCTCATATTTTTCAAGTTGTAATGATTATGTGCTGTTTGCACTTCTTGAAACTTGTTTAATTTGACTTTTACAGAACCTACAAAGCAAGGCCAACTGGATTGGGCGAAACGGAACAAGATTATTGTTGGGACTGCTAGAGGAATTCTATATCTCCATCACGACTCGCCTCTCAAAATCATACACCGTGACCTCAAAGCTAGTAACATCCTCTTAGATGCTGATATGGAACCCAAAGTTGCAGATTTTGGAATGGCAAGGATTTTGAGGGTGGATCAATCACGAGCTGATACAAAGAGAGTAGTTGGAACCTAGTAAATATTCTTTTCGCCTTTATTGCCTATTAATCTCTGAAGTATTGATGACCCCTTTTGTACCACTAGTAAACTCAAGATTTGTTGTTTTCTCTCTTTGTTTCTTTCTAGTGGCTACATTTCTCCAGAGTATTTGATGCATGGCCAATTCTCGATGAAATCTGATGTTTATAGTTTTGGGGTCTTGGTTCTTGAGATAATAAGCGGAAAAAGAAACAGCAACTTCCACGAAACTGATGATTCCGGCAAGAACTTGGTCACACATGTGAGCATAAAGAGTTAAACTTTCAATTTTCTTGCTTCTATAACCTTATCATTTCCAAGGTTTTTGATGGTTTATTGTTTGACCATTGTGGTAGGCTTGGAAGCATTGGAGAAACGGATCACCATTAGAACTCGTGGATTCGGAACTTGGAAAGAACTATCAGAGTAATGAAGTAATCAGATGCATTCATATTGCGCTATTATGTGTTCAAAATGATCCAGAACAACGTCCAAATTCATTGAATGTCATCTTGATGCTCACAAGTAACTCCATCACTTTACCGGTGCCTCAGTCACCAATATATGAGGGAATGGAGATGTTTCTACCTCTGATCAAATCGGTTCCTGGTTCTATCAACGATTCATTGATTGATGACATAGTTCCTCGCTGAAGATGACAGTTACTTCATATCTCAGGTGTTAATATAATTTCTCTTAACACTTCTTATGAATACTTTTGTTGTGTTCAGTCATACAGTGTTATTAAAATACATGGAACCTCTCTTTTACAGGGTTTACTCTGTTCAAGCTGAGTTCGAAGATAAAGCAATGTAATGCAAATAAGCTGACTCAAGCAGGTTTTGTCTAAGTGAAAGATTGGTGTTTTTGGAGGTTCTAACCGGAAATCAAATTGTTTTGTATTGTTTTAACCGATTTCTATTTACGGTTTTATTGCTCTTTCTCCCTCGCTATCTTTTGCTGGGTATAGAATTTGTTTCATTTGGCTCCATCTACGATTTGAGCATAACTTTTTGTGTTGGTTGGAGGGATTGAAAACTAATGTGCATATGTAAATTTTGGCTATTCAAGTTTGGCTGCTGACTCCATTTGTCTCCAAATTTGGTCTGCTGATTTCTTTAAGGTCTCAATTGTCTAACTTAATGTTTCAGGCACGTTTTCCTTTGTTTTTGTTTGGTGCTTATAAAATAGAGAAATATAACATGGGGGTGGGAATCTTCTGACCATTTCACACTCTACTTGCTTCTTTTTTTGGCAGCACACTCTACTTGCTTAGTTATTATATGATTATTATGAATCCATTATGATGGTGGGGAATGGAGATTGTAGTTTTGATTATTACAATGTGACTTTTTGTCAAAGTCAACGGTCTTCTCTCTCATGGAAAATCCTCAGAGGATAAACCTTTTAACTTCTAACATCTAGCACTGTTGAGATTGAGTTCTTGATTAAACCTGCAACAAAGGAGAAAGCTTTAGTGAGAAGAAGAAGAAGAACAGAGCAAAGAAAAGAAGCTAGTGAAGAAGAAGAAGTTGTCGTGAAAGAGGTCAACGACAAGAACAAGTCAACAAGGAAGAAGAAGTTGGGCTTGTTGTTTTGTAATAATAAAAGGGATTGGGCTAATTATTTAGTTAGGCCCAAACATGTGTTAGTGTTGTTGTTAGCTTGTCCAACTAATAGTTGTTGGAGTTTGCTTATGGCTTTAGCTAAAGTAGAGTGGAGTTGTTGTTGTGTAAGGTGTAGTCGTTCCTTGCTTGTAAGTTTGGTTCTAGTCTTAGGGTAATGATGCATAGAAGTATGGTCTCGAATCTAAGTGAGTGTAGTGTAGCAAGTGGAGAAAGAACCACTATATGTATGTGTGTGTGTCTTGTAAGAAAAGTATCCTTGTGATCCATTAATACAATGTAGACAATTAAAGAGTAATGGTTTTTGTTCTTTCTCTCTAAAGACAATGAAACCGTAAATGAGTGTGAGAAATAGAGAGAATGTGAGAATGTCAACATGGTATCAGAGCTATAGTTATCCTTGGAGCCTGTTCAAGGAGAAAATGTCAGTCCAAGAAGAGAGACTGAAGATAAGAGAAAGATGGAGACTTCCATCAAAGAAGAAGAAGACGGCAAAGAAGCCGTGAGTAGAAGAAGAAGAAAAAGAAAAGAGAGGTACGGACCTGAGAAGCTTGGTGAGAAAGAGACCAAGAGGATCCGGACTTGAGAGAAGAAGAACAAGAAGAGGTGCAGTTCATCACTGAGAGGTGAGCTGAATGAAGAGAGTGGGGCCTTGAGCGGACCTGAGCTCATAGGCAAATGAAGAGATGCTGCAGCCATCTTAACAGAAACTACTGAGGTTAGTGTGCATGAAACAGAGTTCAAGGTTCAACAACGTTACAATTCACAAAGATGGATTGAGAAGAAGGTTGATGCCAAGAACAAACCTGTGAAGTGCCAAACCAAGAGGGAGAATTCTGTGGCTGAAGCAGAACAAGAAAGAAGGCACCAATGCAAGCTTGGTTGCAGCCTCCGAGATGAAATGTAGGCAATGAAGCCTTGCGTCAAAGAGGAAGCAACTAAGGTGGCGGCAATGGTGTTGAGAAGCTCCAATCCGTGACTAGGGTTAAAATCTGAGTGGATCAAAACCTGAAAGCGAGAACGAGAAGCCAAGGTTAGAGAAAGACCAAAGCCAACGGTTCAAGGAGTCAAACAAACCAAGTCCGAGAAAGCGGAGGTTGATGATTCAAGAGCCTAACAAGCTAAGGTTAGAGAAAAACCGAGGTGGAGATTCAAAGAACCAAACGACTAAGGCAAATAAAGCTAGGATGAGACTCATGGAGAAACCTAAGAGACTACGGTAAGAGAAGCCGGGTGATGGTGCCAGAGTCAAAAGTCCAAGGATAAAGCTGAGGTGATGGTTCGGAGAATCGAAAACAGAGTGAAGAGGCTGGTGATCACAGTGACACCAAGCAAGAAAGAAAAGAAGAAGCTCACCACAGTGGGAGCTGAAGCCGGTTGCAATGGCAGCCGAGCAAGAAAACGTGAGAAGATCTCACGATGAAAAAAACTTGGAGGAGACATGGAAGGCTCATGGCAAAGAGTTGAAGTGATTCCTGCAAAGAAAAGTTTTTGGTCAGGAATTGATCAAAGAAAACAGAGGAGATTGCGAAGAGAATGAGCCAAGAGATGGCAAAAATATTCGCAACAAAAAATGAAAGAAAAGGGTTGGATCCATCGGGATTCAGTTTAAGAGGGAGAAGAAGAGCTAACTTACGGATGTGGTGGTTGAAGACGGCGAAGGAGACTTTCACCGTGACGGTGACTGGTGATCGGTGAGAGTTGTGACCTCTAGCTGCCGTTGGAGAAGCTTAGCACCACGATAGAGAAAGAAGCTCTATTAAAAGGAATAGAAGCAAGAAGGAGATGCTCGCCGAAGAAGAGAAGAGAGGCGGTCTATCGAAGAAGAAGAAGCCGTGGGATTGAAAGCCCTAAAATTGAAATTGGGGATTTAATCGAAGAACTCAAGAGGGAGTGTTGAGATTGAGTTCTTGATTAAACCTGCAACAAAGGAGAAAGCTTTAGTGAGAAGAAGAAGAAGAACAGAGCAAAGAAAAGAAGCTAGTGAAGAAGAAGAAGTTGTCGTGAAAGAGGTCAACGACAAGAACAAGTCAACAAGGAAGAAGAAGTTGGGCTTGTTGTTTTGTAATAATAAAAGGGATTGGGCTAATTATTTAGTTAGGCCCAAACATGTGTTAGTGTTGTTGTTAGCTTGTCCAACTAATAGTTGTTGGAGTTTGCTTATGGCTTTAGCTAAAGTAGAGTGGAGTTGTTGTTGTGTAAGGTGTAGTCGTTCCTTGCTTGTAAGTTTGGTTCTAGTCTTAGGGTAATGATGCATAGAAGTATGGTCTCGAATCTAAGTGAGTGTAGTGTAGCAAGTGGAGAAAGAACCACTATATGTATGTGTGTGTGTCTTGTAAGAAAAGTATCCTTGTGATCCATTAATACAATGTAGACAATTAAAGAGTAATGGTTTTTGTTCTTTCTCTCTAAAGACAATGAAACCGTAAATGAGTGTGAGAAATAGAGAGAATGTGAGAATGTCAACAAGCACAGAGTCTTTGGTTCTGATTTTGAGAGAATGAAGACACTCAAGAGTTCCTTTTTACTAATCTTTTGTTCTTTCCTTATAAGCTTGGATGCTGTTTCTGCACAAGTCTGCTTCAATGGATTCTTTAAACCCAATAGTACATATGATTTAAACCGTCGTCTAATCCTTTCTTCTCTTGCTTCTAATGTCACAACTCACAACGGCTTTTTCAACTCCTCGATTGGTCAAGATTCCAGTAGGGTCTTCATCAATGGTATGTGCATCCCTGGGACTAAACCAGAGACTTGCTCAGATTGCATCAAAGGCGCATCAGACGGCTTGGACAGAAAAAATACTCGTTTACGAGTTTGTACCTAACAAAAGCCTTGATTATTTCCTGTTCGGTATGATATGATCGCTTAAATGATTATAAGTTCTTTGAAGTACTTATTGTTGCTAATGCTGTTATTTTTATGCAATGTACAGACCCTGCAAAGCGAGGCGAACTGAACTGGACAAGACGGTACCACATTATTGCAGGGATTGCTCGAGGAATTATGTATCTTCATCATGATTCACGTCTTACAATCATACACCGTGATCTGAAAGCAAGTAACATTCTTTTAGATGCCGACATGAACCCCAAAATCGCAGATTTTGGCATGGCGAGGATATACAGAATTGATCAAACTCATGCCAACACAAATAGAATCGTTGGAACATAGTGAGCTTTTTTTTCTTAATTAACCTTACTAATACAAACTATGTTTGGTGGTTACTTGTAGGCTAAAAAGTCTATCCTTAATTGCAGTGGTTATATGTCTCCAGAATATGCAATGCGTGGCCATTTCTCCATGAAATCTGATGTCTATAGCTTTGGTGTAATGATTCTAGAGATTATAAGTGGCAAAATGAATAGCAGCTTCTACGACATTGATGATTCTCCTAGCAATTTGGTCACACATGTGAGTATATGATCTTTCGAGTTACATGAGTGTATATGATTAAGCCAAAGGGTATTAATATATTTGATAACTTTTGTTAGGCTTGGAAGCTTTGGAGAACAGGGTCACAATTAGAACTCGTGGATCCGACAATAGGTGAGAGTTCCCCGAGTAACGAGGCTATTATTAGATGCATCCATATCGCACTTTTATGTGTTCAAGAAGATCCTGCAGATCGACCAATGTTGCCAGCAATCGTCGTGATGCTCACTAGTAATACAGACACTTTACCTGTGCCTCGAGCACCCGGCTTTTGCCTCTCAAGCATAAGTGAACAATCCACAATTCCTTGTTCTAACAATGATGTATCGATCACAGATCTAGATCCTCGCTGAAGAGTGGTTCTTTTTTCTTGATATTGGAACTGTATTGAATATATGGAAGTATCAACATCATCTCTTCTTCTTGTCATTACTCTACTTTATGAGACATTTTAACAAGTATATAGAAATATCTATATACATGTATTTCAGATACAATAAGTTTCACGTTTACTACCTATTTTCAGTAACCAGAATTGGTTCAGACATAATTAGGTCACTGGTGTTTGTGAAGCCATCTAAATTGATTTGGTTTGTACTTTGTATGATTTAGAAAATAGAAATAACAGTTTGGATTAAACAAAACCAAACAATAGTTTTTATTCATGGGGCTTTGTTACATTGTTACAAATTGAAACTACTTTTTTTCCCTATTATATCATCTTTTGAGGAGGAACTGGTGGAGATGGACCGCGACATCTATTTGTTTTTTCACAACCGCGATGGTACGGATTCGCCGGTTGTTTGGGTGGACATTTGCCATGATCACATCCTGGTTGGTCATCGCCGCCTTTTATTGGCGGATAGCCAATAACATTTGCAGCTGCTACGTTCATGTTGCTTATGAACAAACATGCTATGAATATTGCCACGGCAATATACCTTTTTGTTCCTTTCAAAATGCTCATGATGATTTGTGCTTCTTTTTTTGTAATCTGTGTTTTATATCGCTAACAGTGTTTTTATGTGTGTGAAAAAAGGTTTCACTTTCTGATATTTATAGAGAATGAAAATTCTGAAAGACCATATCCAAACATATCAAAACAGTGATATTTGTTGAATAATATGGAAGGAATTTTGGGGAGTTTAATTTGTCTTAATCTTTAGAAGCATTGTGTCATGAAATTATTTGTTGGTATACTAAAAAATATGATGATGTATTTCCTCTTTAGTTTTACTGAAAAAGATATTACAATAGGATAACTGAAATTTGCAAGTAGAAGATAATCCTATGGATTTTTTTTATAAACTAGTACTAAATATAAAGATGCCATAATAGTTAATAGTAATACTAATACTTTACTTCTATCTCTATGTACATAAGGTGTCAAATTTTCGCAATACGTGGAAGTGAAAAAAACAAAATACTAATTTTGTTATAGTATCTGCGAAAATTAGTAACTAATTTCTTTTAAACATATTGACCATTGGATGAAAATTAAATCAACATACCAAATATGGTCGTATAAGAGTTGTTGAAACTTGGATGCAGGGTACAAAACTTAAGCCACATAAGCTAAAGATTATGACCTAAACTTTTATAGATCATTGAGAGTTATTTTTTTTTTCTTTAATTTTAAAATGTTATTAAAATGATGAGATTTGAATAAAAATTTTGCTTTTTCTCTTTGGTTTTGATGACTAACATTTTTCTTTGTCGTTAACATTGAATTTCTCATGTTCTATTTGATTTATAAGTTTATAACATTTTCTAAAAATAACAAAAAATCTTATTTTGAATAGGACCTTCAAAAATGTTGGACCGGCTCTTCTTGGATCTCACGTTTATTGATGTCAAATTAATGTTGCATAAGGTAACATAATCGTCTTTAAAAATTTAAATTGATACCAAAAAGCCATTTAACCATGAATTAAATTGGGTTCTAATGTATCTATACTAGTATTTTTGAATTACATTTTAGACAGTAATCTTTGTTTTAATAAATATTTACAAAGAATGTCATTACTTTATATCCATGTATCCAAACAACTTATAATTAATTCTCTACTATCCACATAACTAAACACAATTAAAGATTTTAACATTTATTATAAAATTAAAAATATGCATATAATGTCCCTATAATGCTTAACAATAAACAATATAGACATTTAGAAAATTTAAAACCATAATTCCCATATCATTTTTTGTGTGATTTTGTTTTCAAATTGTTTTGAATCATCAAAAATACACAAAGTTAACAAAAATCTAAAAAAAAATTTCTGCATATATTATGATTTGAACTTAAAAATGGATATATATATATATATTTCTCAATCAATGAAAAAGTGTGTTCAACGTCTCACACATGCTACAATGCTTAGACAATGATAAAAAGTCATATGATAAATAAGATCGACATTAATAAAAATTTAAATATTATTAACTCGACGCTTCAATACGGGTTATAAATTCATTTAATTATTTTGTTAACAGTTATTATTACATATACTATTGTATTAGATATGTCGAATTAAGTTGATTTAGTTAAAAATGAATGAAACAAAAGTTGTCCCGTAGTATAGTGGGAATTAAATGCTAGTTGGGTTATGAATTTAAAACGAATGATTCATGTAAACGTCGTTTTTTTTAACATGTACGCCAAACGACGTCATTTTGTTATGCTAAAACGACACACTCGTCCCGGCAACAATTACGATTTGTCCGGTGAGGGTTTAATCGGATTGTAATCATCTGAGCTTATGCCTCCTTGAGTTATGATTCAATTAGGCTCCTCTAATCGTGCTCTTTGGTGGGTTGCAAGATATTTCTCGGAGTAGGGCACGGCGTGATTCTGTCGATGGAGCATTTTTGACTGACTAGTATCAATGAGTTTGACTCAAATCTTGAGTATTGAGGAAATCTCTTATATATATCTTTATATGGATCCAAGACTTGTTCTGATGCCTGTTGATCCTCAAAATCACACAAGTACGTATTTGGAGTCTTAAGGGCGAAAGAAGAATCTCTTATTTAAAGAACGAGCCGACAATTACAAAAATAGACGAGCTGAAAACTTAGAGTCCGAGCCGAGCCGCAATGTGCTCTGACGGTTGTACGATATTCTCAGTAAAGCGGTTATTTCGGGATCCCTGTACAATCATTCTTTTTTGCTATTTATAGGGTGCAGAAGTAGGGTACACTGTTCGTGTGAAATGTCCTTTTTGCCCTTTGGTCGGTGGAAAATCGAATCTGGGCCTTCTTTTGGCTTCTGCTGGGCCACATGGAAGCATGGGCCCGTTGAAGGGTTTAGGCCCGTTAAGGGGTTTGGGCCCGAGCCCAAAACCCACCATCAACAATGCCAATGTCTTCAAGTGTCTTTTCGTGAAATTTACTCTTGTTTTACGAAGGTAAAAATTGCCTTACGACCTTTTTGTTCGCTTTGTTTCGTTTCTAGATGATATTAATCGAAAGGGTTTGGTTTTAGATATGCCACCAAAGAGGATTTTGCAAAAGGCATAGCTGGGATGGATGGGAATGTACTATTCGTTCTAATATCTCTTTCTTGATTACCAAATCAAAATCTATTTAAGAGATTTACACTAACAAATACCAAATGGCTAATCTCCTCTCGGTGTTTCTCTGCAGTTCCTTGACAGTTGGGTCATATTGGCAGAGTATGCAAGAACGAGAGAGCAATCACAGTCATATCAACCTCAGAAACAAGTCTCGTTCTCCATATGGTAACCGCTAGTGAATATTAGTATTTATGCTTCATTCTATTCTCTTCTATGGTCGAACTGTTGTCTACATATCTTGTTATTACCCTGGAAACTTGGAATTATATTTGAGTAATAACCAAAAACTGTTATTTGCTAGATAAAGTTTAATAGGTCTCCAAGACTTATATTTCACCGGTTTAGATATTATCATGTACTGGACTAATCACTAATCGTATTTATTGGTCCTGACAATAATGATTTTACATGGACCAGTTGGGTCATATATATTTATACGGTTGGGTTTTGAATTACTTCGGCTTATCCTCTTGACTCTTGCTTCCAACGTCAGTTCTCGAGACGGGTACTACAACGTTTCGGTGGGTGAAGGCCCTGGAAGGATCTATGCCTTGGGCATGTGTATCCCAGGGGTTGAACCGAAGCGCTGTTCAGACTGTATCCAACTTTTGTCCAACAGTTTACTACTGATCAAATCAGACCAATTCATTCGAGTGGTAAACTGACAAGATGATCTGTCTTGTTCGTTATTCTGACCGCTCGTTTTTTGACTCCTTAGAACAAGAGCCGGAGATAACAGTTTGTAATAGTGAAAAAATTGGGGACGTAACAGAGTTTAACAGAATATGGCCGGACTTCATGGAGGATATGTTCATAGCAGCTTCCTCCAGGCGTTATGCGGCCAAGGTATCTCCTCTGATGGGTTTCCAACGTATATACGCCCTGATGCAGTGTATACCAGGGTCATCTTCGATATCATGTGACGCCTGTCTTCGGTGAAGTGTCACTAAGTACGGGGAAGGGTGCAAGGGGAGGCAAGGGACTAACATTCGAAGGCCGGTCTGCTTTTTCAAGTGGGAAACAAATCCCTACTTCGATGCTTTCGTTGATCCACAGTCTACCCCTCCTCAACCCATGCGTCCCCCAGGTGATGCAACAAAGTATCCTTCCTTGTTTAATATATGTTTACTGAAGTACCCATGCCGTAACCGTATGTATTAATTTTTACTTTGCCGTTTCCCGTCCCTGTTTCCGTCCCCGTATTTTGTTTCCATACCCGTTTCAGTGCTACTTAGGCTTTCAATCCCGTAAACTCATATTTTTCCTTAAACATCTGTGATTCTCCTGTCCTGAATCTCGTTTTCAGCTTTGCTAGTCAAACCAAAACGTGACTTGAATATTGCTTGTGCAGATACGATCTCCAGAGGAACTTTAATCGCGATTGCGATGGTACCAGCAATAATCGTGGCACTGCTTGCTCTAGGATTTGTTTATTGTAGGAGGAAAAAATCACATAAAAAAACAAAACTCAAAAGTGAGAAAATTTTATACTTGTCACTTATATTTTACTCACACACAAACACACGCGCGCACACACACACACACACTTCCTGCGTAATAACACCATAAGTCCAATGTTGCAGTTGATGATGATATCACAAATCCACAGTCACTGCAGTTTAATTTTAAGACACTCGAAGAAGCAACAGATAAATTTTCGGGCTTGAACAAAATTGGTCAAGGTGGATTTGGTGAAGTTTATAAGGTATGCGTACTTATATTTAATCTTTCTGGTACATTTTTAAAGTATAACTTATAGTATGGGTACTTTTTGTAATCATTCGTCAACTGAGTGCATTTTACATGTTAGATACAACAATTACCTTCTATTTTGGTATCTTAGAAATTTGGTTGGCTACATATATGAACGTTTTAGTGTTTGATTGTTGATGTTATTTTTTTTGTAGGGGAAACTTTCAACTGGAACTGAAGTAGCAGTGAAAAGACTGTCGAAAACTTCAGGACAAGGCGCCCAAGAGTTCAAGAGCGAGGCTGTTCTTGTGACAAAGCTTCAGCATAGAAATCTGGTTAGGCTTCTTGGATTTTGTTTGGAAGGGCTAGAAAAAATACTAGTCTATGAGTTTGTACCTAACAAAAGCCTCGACTATTTCCTATTTGGTAATGGTAATATATTTATGCAATGTACAGACCCTGCAAAGCAAGGCCAATTGAACTGGAGAAGACGGTACAACATTATTGCAGGGATTGCTCGAGGAATTATGTATCTTCATCATGATTCACGGCTTACAATCATACACCGTGACCTCAAAGCAAGTAACATTCTCTTAGATGCCGATATGAACCCCAAAATTGCAGATTTTGGCTATGGCAAGGATTTTTGGAGTTGATCAAAGTCAAGCCAACACAAGAAGAATTGTTGGAACATAGTAAATTATCTATCTTATATTGACTAAAAAAAACTCTGATGGTTGGTTGCTTGTATGCTAAAAAGACATTCTATTTTGCAGTGGATACATGTCTCCAGAATATGCAATGCGCGGCCATTTCTCCATGAAATCTGATGTCTATAGCTTTGGAGTAATGATTCTAGAGATTATAAGTGGCAAAACAAATAGCAGCTTCTACCAAATCGATGATTCTCCTGGTAACTTGGTCATACATGTGAGTATATGATCTTTCGAGTTACATGAGTGTATATGATTAAGCCAAAGGATAATAATTTATTTGATCACTTTTGTTAGGCTTGGAAGCTTTGGAGAACAGGGTCACAATCAAAGCTCATGGATCTGATAATAGGAGAGAGTTCTCCGAGTAATGAGGCGGTTATCAGATGCATCCATATCGCACTTTTATGTGTTCAAGAAGATCCTGCAGATCGACCAATGTTGCCAGCAATCGTCATGATGCTAACTAGTAACACATACACTTTACCTATGCCTCGAGCACCCGGATTTTGCCTCTCAAGCATGAATGAATAGTCCACAAGCAGGTCTATTCCCGGTTCTATCAATGATGTATCGATCACCGATCAAGATCCTCGTTAAAGAATGTTTTTTTCTTGATACTACAACTGTAATGAGTATATAGAAGTATCAACATCAACTATCTTTCTTGTTATTACTCTACTTTATGTGACATTTAAACATATACATATAGAAATATACTTGTATTTCAGATACAAACATTGTACAACAAGGTTAACGTTTTGAACCTATTTTCAATAACCAGATTCAGACATTATTAGGTCATTAGTGTTTGTGAAGCCCATCTAACAGTAAATTGAAATTGTTTGTATGATTTAGGAAATAGAAAGGGAATAGTTTGGATCAAACAAAAGCAAACCATAGTTTTTATTCATGGAACTTGGTTAAATTACATTATATTTCAAATTGACCTTGTTTTTTTTTTCTTTCTTTCTATTATATCATCTTTTGAGAAGGAACTGGTGGAGATGGACCACGACATCTTTTTGCTATTTCACAACCCCGATGGTACGGATTCGCCGGTTGGTCGGGTGGACAATTGCCATGATCACATCCTGGTTGGCGATCGCCTCGTCCTATTCCTGGATAGCCAATGTCTTTTGCAACTGCTACGTTCATGTTGCTTAGGAACACACATGCTATAAATATTGCCACGACCATAAACCTTTTTGTTCCTTTCAAAATGCTCATGATGATTTGTGCCTTTTTGTTTGAAAAAATTGTGTTTGTGTATCAAATTAGTTAACAATGTTTTTATGAGTAAGAAAAAAGGTTGTACTTTGTGATATTTATAATCAACGAAATTTTTAGAAAGATAATCCATGCATATCAAATCAGTGATATTTGTTGAATAACATGGAATGAATTTAGGGGATTTTAATTGATCTCAATCTTTATAATGCATTGTGTCATGAAATCATAATCTGTTAATATATGATGCTGTCCTTTTTTTTTCTCTCTTTACTTAAAAAACCGATTACAATTGGATATGTGAAGCGGACAAGTAGAAAACATACTCATCGAATCAAATTTTATAAACAACTAAATATATAGATGCCAAAATAGTTAATAGTAGACATATTGGGCTAAGTTATACTATATAGGCTTTGTATATCTACTATACATTTTTGCAGCAGTTTTTGGGTACCCAAATCGGGTCAAATTTATTTAATTTTGACCCGGAAATCTTCAATCGGATATTTCCTTAAATTTTGGCAAAATTAATAAACGAAAATAATTAATAAAATCTAAAATATATATACTTTCTCAACTAATTACTATATTTAAACGCTTTATTCATGGTATATTCTCCACGATTTTTATAGATAAAGAAATCAAATATGATGATTTAATGCTAATATAACAAATTTGCATTAATTTCCTAAAACCTCTCTACCTAATTTAAACATAAATATATGATTCTTATTTCACTTTTATTTGATCTTATATTTATATTATTTTAAATTATTATAAAATATATAAATAGTTAGTAAATTTTAGTTTTTTTTTTCTGCATATGTTACAATTCAAATTTTTTAAAACGGACATATATTACTCAATTGATGAATAAAAATATGTGTGTAATCTATATTAACATTTTTAAGAACAAATTGAGCATTTAATCATGTCGTTATTTTATTCAGACCCGAAATTGAGTCATTCGGATCTTTCTTTAATTTTTACAATTATCTAAAATGGGACAGTATATCACGGGTGAAATCCTAATTAGTATTTTAAGATACAATTATAAATTGTTTTTACGGGTTGGTCCAAAAACACACACTAATTTAAAAATATACATGGAAACTATTTGAAAGCAACTTTCAAATTAACTCGAATTATATGACATTTAAATAAAAGTGTTATTAAAAAAATAACAAAATGATGTTTAATTTCATTTTAGATTATATGGTTGGACGGGTTTGGGTCAATATTAATACGAGACAATATACCACAGGTGAAATCCTATAAATAACAAATCAAAATACAATTATACAATCTTAAACACTAAACAAAACAAATACAACTTAAAATTTTTTATTTTAGATACAACGCATGTTACCCGCGGTATACAACAAAAAATATTATACACAATAAATTCATCAATTTATAAAAATAAAAAAATCAAATAATTAACCCGCGGTGTACCGCGGGTCATATCCTAGTTAAACGAGTATAGTCGGTTAGGTTTAGCTCGACATTCTCTACATCCTCTTGTCTATATATACTTTGTACACACGTTTAAGATCAATAACAGAACATATTCACTAAATCTACATGGTATCAGAGCATCTTTCCTGAAACCTAAACCTAATTCTCTGTTCCTTTCCGCCTCTCTCTTTATTTTTTTGATTAAAAGTTCATAGTTTTAAGCATCTTTGATCAAGATGTCTACAGAGATTGTTGCTGCCAAGAGTGGTGATTCCACAAATCCGACATACAAACTGTCTTCCGCTGATAACCCTGGATCAATGATTACTTCTGTTTTGCTAACAGGAGATAATAACAATGAATGGGCATCTGAGATGCTCAATGCTCTTCGTGCGAAGAAGAAGATGGGCTTTGTTGATGGTACCTTGCCCAAGCCAGCCGCTGATAGTGGTGATCTTGAATCATGGATTTCAGTGAATTCCATGGTTATTGGATGGTTGAGAACCTCAATTACACCTCGTGTTCGCTTCACGGTATCGTTTCTCACCAACGCACATGAATTGTGGCAAAACTTGAAGCAGAGATTCTGTGTTGCGAACAAAGTTTGTGTTCATCATCTAAGAACACAATTGGCTTCATGTCGACAAGATGGTCAACCCGTAATTGATTATTACGGCAAGCTTGCTGCGATGTGGGATGAGCTCTACACATACAAACCACTTCCAACCTCCGCTGAAGAGTTCGCGAAAGAAAGAGAAGAAGAGAAAATGCACCAATTTGTTATGGGGCTCGATGAATCAAGGTTTGGAAACGTTGTCAATTCAATCATCGACGCAGATCCATCTCCTGACATTGCACAAGCATACGCGAAGGTTATACGAGAAGAACAGAGGCTTCACTCCGTCAAATCGCGTGAGCAACATGAGGCTGTCGGGTTCGTGACTTGTCAGGATGATTCCTCTTCCTCACATCAGTCCACAGCTCGTCGTGATGGTGGTGATTCCACCGGTCTTGTCTCACGCCCAGATGCTTCTTTTCTCACCGGTGCAAATCGAAACAGAGACCGCAACTCTCTTTGTGCTCATTGTGGTAAACCGGGGCATGAAAAGAATTTTTGCTGGCAGATACACGGTTACCCTGAATGGTGGACCGAACGTAGCTTGCGTAATGGAGGAAGAGGATCAAATCGTGGTCGTGGATCTCAATCTGCTGGTCGTGGTCGAGGTCCGGTTACTGCTGCTCACGCAACCAGCTCTAATGGCTCTGTTTTTCCGGATTTTAGTGCGGACCAGTGGAAAGCAATCTCACTGATGGCGTTAGAGAAGACAAAGGGCAGTGGTGATACATAAAAGCTCTCTGGTAAGACTTTTGGTGACATTATTATAGACACAGGGGCTTCTCATCACATGACCGGGAATCGTTCTTTGCTTTGTGACATTGCTAATACTTCTCCATGCTCTATTGGTTTTACGGATGGAAGCAAAACTCTTTCTACCAGCATGGGAGTCATGCATCTTAATGACACGATTCATTTGATCAATGTGTTATATGTTCCGGATCTTAATTGTTCCTTGATATCCGTTTCAAAGCTGCTAAAACAACTCAAAAATTGTTTTGCGTTGTTCACTGATACCCTTTGCATTTTGCAGGACCGTTTTACGAGGACCCTGATTGGAGCCGGGATAGAACGTGATGGGGTATATTATCTTTCGGATGTGGCAACGGTGAAGGCTTACAAAGTGGACGCAGTTTCAGATACGGCTTTGTGGCATAAACGTCTAGGACATCCTGCTTTTTCAGTATTTTCGGATTTACCATTCTCTACTTCTTTACAATCTGCTAGTCCAAGTTCTTGCGATGTGTGTTTTCGGGCTAAGCAAACACGGGAAGTTTTCCCAAACAGTATTAATAAAACAATTGGTTGTTTTGATTTAATTCATGTTGACATTTGGGGACCATATCGCACTCCTTCTTCAAGTGGTGCTGTTTATTTTTTAACAATCGTAGATGATTTCTCTCGATCGGTATGGCTCCATCTCTTACTCGAAAAATCTGAGGTCAAAAATGTACTACAGAATTTCTGCGCATACAAGGAGAAACAGTTCGGAAAAGCTGTCAAAATAGTCCGTAGTGACAATGGCACCGAATTCACTTGTCTCTTGCCATTCTTCACTCAACAAGGGATAGTTCACCAAACATCGTGTATTGGCACGCCTCAGCAAAATGGTAGAGTTGAACGCAAGCATCGCCATATATTAAACGTTGCTCGCTCTTTGTTGTTTCAAGCTAGTCTACCGGTTAGATTTTGGGGAGAGGCTATTCTTACGGCTGCTCATCTCATCAATCGTACACCCACAAAAATTCATAATGGTCGTACACCTTATGAAATACTTTACGGTGCCTAACAAAGTATGTCGTCTACATAAGTCGCTTTATGGTCTTAAACAAGCTCCTCGATGTTGGTTTACCAAGCTTGCCGATGCCTTGACTACGTTTGGCTTTGTCCAATCATATGAGGATTATTCTTTTTTCTCTCTCACGCGTGGTGACATTGAGCTTCGCGTCTTGGTTTATGTTGATGACTTATTGGTGTGTGGTAATGATATTCCCACTCTTACCAAGTTTAAAGAATATTTGAGCAGTTGGTTTCGCATGAAAGATCTAGGCAAGGCAAAGTATTTTCTTGGTCTCGAGATTGATCGTAATGATGAAAGTATCTTTCTCTCCCAACGCAAATATGCTCTTGATATTGTTTCCGAGACAGGATTGTTGGGCTCTAAACCCGCATACACTCCCATGGAGCCACAACATCGTCTTCCCTTAGATGACAGTCCGCTACTTAAGGATCCGCTGTCTTACCGTCGTCTTCTTGGACGTCTTATATACCTCCTCACCACTCGTCCGGATTTGTGCTATTGTGTGCATATTTTGTCACAGTTTATGCAAGCTCCTCGTGAAGCTCACTGGGAAGTGGCTCTCCAGGTTGTTCGGTTTCTTAAACGATCTGCGGGTCAAGGAATTATGCTACGCGCCGATTCTGATCTTCATCTTACGGTTTATTGTGATTCAGACCATGCCTCATGTCCGTTATCACGACGGTCTTCAAGCTCCTATATCGTGTTTCTTGGTGGCTCTCCAATATCTTGGAAAACAAAGAAACAACGTACCATCTCTCGCTCGTCTGCTGAAGCAGAATATAGGGCTATGGCTCGTGCCACCGACGAGATCATTTGGCTTCGTCGTCTTCTCTCAGACTTTGGCGCTCCTCAAACACAACCTACTCGTCTATTTTGTGATAGTCAGGCGGCTCTTCACATTGCGGCTAACCCCGTCTTCCATGAGCGCACTAAGTTTATCGAGATTGATTGTCACGTGGTTCGTGATTCAATTCAAGATGGGACGATCTCTACTGCTCATGTCCCAACAACGGAACAACTCGCGGATGTTTTAACGAAGGCACTTGGGCGACCTCAGTTTGATAATTTGGTGTCCAAGTTGGGCATTTCTAATCCGCATGCTCCAACTTGAGGGGGAGTATTGGGCTAAGTTATACTATATGGGCTTTGTATATTAAACGAGTATAGTCGGTTAGGTTTAGCTCGACATTCTCTACATCCTCTTGTCTATATATACTTTGTACACACGTTTAAGATCAATAACAGAACATATTCACTAAATCTACAAGACATACTAATACGTTACTTCTATATGCATAATAGAGTAGGTGTCATATTTTATCAATACGGAGAAATGAAAAACAAAACACTAATTTTTCGTAGTTATCTGCAAAATTAGTGACTAATATGCGTAAAAAAAACACTGACCGAGTGACCGTTGGGTGTGAAAATTGAATCAACACAACGTACCAAACCAACATGGTCAGAAAAGTCCAGGACCTTGTGGTCAAGTGGTAAGGAGACGGGCTTGAGGCGCCAACACGTCTCAAGTTCGATCCACCTGCTGCGTGAAACTCTAACACATTGTTTCTAGACACCCACATGGATATAGGCCCTTGCTTTCGGCCCATTTGAATCAGTGCCGGTCCGAGCATTTGTGAGGCCCTACACGAAATATAAAATGAGGCCCTGATATTTATTAACAATATTTAACATATGATTTTTTTTATATATGTTAATTTTTATTATTGTTTTAAAAAAATATCCAAAAAAATGGACCTCAATATCACTAATTTAACTAAGTAAAATTTCAAAATGAGCCTCAATAACCAAAAAATACTACAAAAAAAAAAAAAAAATTGTGGGGCCCCAAGCAGTGGCTTGGGTCGCCTGTCCTGCGGGCCGGGCCTGATTTGAATATCCGGAGAGAAGGTCTATCCATGGGCTGCACCTCCCCAGAGATTAGTCTGGGCCCCTCCATAAGTCTAGGATCTACCCTAAATTATCAAAAAAAAAAAAAAAAAAAACATGGTCAGAAAAAAGTTGTAAATTGCAAATTCAATAACTTGTGCACCGAATGGAAATTGCAAATTCTGACTAGTATCAATGTGGTTTGATTCAAAAATGTGTTATCAGGTTGGGTTTTGTTAGTTGTGTGGTCTAAGTTTGTTTGTTGACTTCCATTGCAGCTATTGACTCCACTAACGATTCAAAGTTTATGAGTCAACTTAATTTTTCAAAGCCATTTGCATAATTTTCCTTAGACCATCTCTTTCAATTAAGAATGTATGGCAAATTCATTGAACCTGTCAAATTTGCCAAGAGAACCTACACGGTATTTGATGGGGAAAACGCCTTTTCAACCTCAACTATTTGCCGTCGTGTTGAAATCGGCTCATTTGCATTAGTTCAGGTTTCGATTTTGAATTATTTTTGAGTTTAGGTTGAAATCGACTGGGGATCATAGTTTGGGTTGGAAAAACCCGTCAGCAAATAGTTGAGGTTGAAAAATGCTATTTTCCCGTATTTGATGCCCAAACAATAACTTCTTGATTCTAATATCTAAACACATTTTCTGATCTTGAGAGAATGAAACTCAAGACTTTATTTTTACCAATCTTCTTGTTTTTCCTCATAACCTTAGATTCTGTTTCTGCACAAACTTGCTTTAATGGATACTTTAAACCCAATGGTACTTACGACTTAAACCGTCGTCGGATCCTATCTTCTCTTGCTTCTAATGTCTAAGCTAACAACGGCTTCTACAGCTCCTCCATCGGCCAAAATCCAGACCAAATGTTCATCATTGGCATGTGTATCCCTGGAACTAAACCAGAGAGATGTTCAGATTGCATCAAAGGCTCATCAGACGGCTTGTTACGAAGCTGTCCTAACCAAACAGTTGGTTATGTATGGCCAGATTGTTGTATGGTACGTTATTCCAACATTTCCTTCTCTGGATCATTCATTATGGAACCGTCTCAACCTATGTCCGATCCCGCACCTATCGGTGTTGATTTGAAATTGTTTGATAGAATCTGGGACGACTTAATGTCCCGTACGATAGCTGCAGCTTCGAGGACTCATGGATCATCATCATTTGGGCATAAATACTATACAGCTGAGGTTGCTTCATTGACAGCTTTCCAAACTATATATGCAATGGTGCAATGTACACCGGATGTTTCTTCAGGGGACTGTGAGTTTTGTCTGAACAAAACTGTTGTTGATTATAAGAAATGTTGTCGCGGTCACATTGGCGGTGCTTTTGTAAGACCATTTTGCTTTATCCGGTGGGATTTGTATCCTTTTGCTGGAGCTTTTGAACATCGTACATTGCCATCGCCTCCACCACCGCTTTCTTTGACTCCTCCGGTAAGCAATTGATGGGCTGCGACAATCACACGAGTCAAGATACCATATTAAACCTTTTACAAAATAATTGTGCTTAAATCTTTTACGAATCTTCGATTTGGCTTCTGCAACTCGCCGATTAGCTTCGCCAATCATGCTCGATGCTGATACTTGTGGAGATGATGAGATTGGTGAATAAACCCCTCCGATTTGTCACCGTTTGCCTCCGATTTCATATTCGGCGACTAACAAAAATGAACAAAACGAAGTATCGAAAAAGAGAGAGAGAAAGACGTGAAATTATTTTTTTCCGTTTCATATACAATATGTATTCGACCAACCAGAACATGACACGTCACAGATTCTTATGAGCTCTATAACTTCCTAAATAAGACTCGCATTTATTTACCCATTTTGATTTAAATTTGACCCAATTATATTTAGGAGCCCAAGGAGAGAAGCCCCGTTGGAAATGGTCTAACATTTCTTATAAGTGAGATATGGGCTGTGGGAGAAAATTTGCATATTGTAAAGATGGTATGGCGTAACTATTTATTAAATTTCCGATGTGGGACTCAGTTTTTTTTTAAAACATATTGGGCTTTTAAGTGTTATGGCGGCGGGAAGATATGATTGTCGGCCCTGTCGTAAGCCCATGTTTCAATCCTCTGCTTACACAATTTCGTTAATCCTAGAAATAAAACCGCGTCTTCGCCGCGATTTCTCCTCATCTGTCGCGCTCTCGCCGGCCTTTTGAGGACTATATGCATATTTCAATAAAGTTAAATCTAAGATAGTAGATTTACGTTGATTGTGAACATGATTTAGCAATTATACATCATGCAAATAAATTAGGTGAAGAAAAGAAGTGAGCAGACAATTGTAAATTGAAGTTTAACTTGTGAATAGTTTGTACAAAAAATCCTCTATAAATTGATAATCACTATAAATTAATTAAAAAAAAATCGGTCTCGAGTCGGACTAGTGTAATATTTAACATAATTCGATAAAATAATGATTTGTTTGAAAATTCTATGTAATTATATGGTCTCATCAGTATCATAAATTAATAATTGTATAAACTTATCAATATATAATATATATATATATATATATATATATATATATATATATAAAAGAAAATTTAGTAAACTATGATTTTAGTATTGTTTGTTTTTCATAAATATGCATTAATCCTTGATAGAGTTCATTTATAATATTTTATCATATGGTTGGTAATTATTTAAAATTCCTATCATTTCTCGTCCATAAAAGATTGTTAAGTAACGGTGCCTTTTTGTTTTCATTGCATGAACTCTGGTGATTACATTGAAATGTCATTATAGCAATGTCACATCTGTTCTTTTTCACACAAGAAAACCTCTCATCATTGTCTCTACCTCTAAGGATAGAAGGCCACGAGAATTGAACATAAGACTTCGCCTCGAACATAGATTCTGGACACTAGCAGGACATGATAGTGGTTTGATCGTCTTCAAATTTGATAGAGAACATCATGCTTTTGATGTGAGTGAAAATTACTTATTCTATGCCAACGATCTTTATTTGTGGGTGTATGATATCTCAACACAAACCCTACAACAAGGTCCCTCTATTGTACATACTTCAGCAGCATGCTGGAATAGAATAAGCTGGAACCCAAATGTATTGCAAATACTAAATGATTGAACGATTCCTTTATTTGTATAAATGTTAAAACAACTACAAGTTATGTTTGTCTGTTTTAACCTGTGATTAGATCTAAATGATTGAACAATTCCTTTATTTATTTTTGTAAAAAGTAATTTGTGTTAATTATGGTTGAATACTATTTGATGATCTAAATGATTAGAATACCTAGCTCTTTCATAAATATCATGATCATTAGTTTAAGTTTTGGATTTTGGTCCCCACTTCAAAAAATAATTGTGCTTAAATCTTTTACGACAAGTGAAATCAGTTGTAAGAAAAAAAGCTAATAATGTAAAATCAGTGTATCATAGGGAAAAAAGAAAAAATGTTAAATCCGTGTAGTTTATCAGTAATGATCCAATTGTCTATCAAAAGTTCAACAGTTTAAAACTGTGAGTAAAACTATTCCCGTTTCATAGGCCCATATCCTACCATGACAATAACTGACTCAAAGTTCTACGCAAGTACTACTATGGTCTTGAATGTTTAGAGCGGAACTTTGATACACGAGATGCGTTTTTATATCATGTCCCCATTCATGACATTAATTGTATGTGTGGGACAAAAAACACACTTACGTAATAAAAAAATCAAAAAATCAAAAGTGTACTTTTTTAGCTTAGTTTTGAAGAACGCATAGTGCGGTTAAGAATTCTCTAATATGGTGTGGTTTGTTGCGGTACTATTTTATTTTTATTTTTTTCCAGTTCAAAAAATTCTGAAAATTTTGATACAATTAAATATTACCAGTTTACACATTTTTCTTTATTAAAAAAAATAATTCAGAAACTTGAAATTGAAAAATTATTAATCAAAGTTTAAATAAATGATATATCTTACCGCACTTGTAATAGTCACCATTCAAACATTATCCAGTACCGCTTTTTTCATACAAATCATATTTATTTCGCATGATGCGTTTCTATCAACCGCACTGCAGTAAAACCGCATCATATCTCTATAACCGTTTGTCCCGCACCGCCCAAACCACCGTCACCATTAGAAACCTATAACTGAAAATAGTGGCTATAACAGTAAAAGGTTTAAAGGACACTTGTGAGTTATGACTCATAGCGGATCCAGAAAAATAGTTTACCTGGAGCACAAATAATATATATAGTTAATAATATTAAATTTTTTGAAAATATTATATCTATTAGTTTCTAACATTAACAATATTACACGAATTTAGACTCTAAACATTAAATAAACTATAAAAAGATAATAATCTTCATTCATTTACTAGTTTTACTGAAAATAATAATAAAAATGTAGGTATTAATTTTTTTTTACAGTAGACAAACATGTCTTAAAATTTGTTAGTTAAATTGAAATTAGAAAGATAACAATAGAATTGAAAGAAGATAGTTTTATTTAAAAAGAATAAGGAAAATGCAGTGAAGATGCTAGAAAGAACTTGGGATGTGGCAAAGAAATGAGAAATAGTTAAAAAAAAACATACCAAAAATTTGGAAAGAGGAGAATCGAACTCTCTTCCTGAAGGGAAGCATGGGGCACTTAAAACCAACTGAGCTATGAAGTTAATACATAGAATGAAAATTTGATAACTTTTAATAACTAATATGGGGCACCTACCCCACCTTATGATGCTATACGCCCCTGACTTTTGGGTATTAACGGATAAAAGGAGTATCTACTCCGTACTCATCTTTTCGTTTAGTTGTTGTTTCCTCGCAATGAATGGGATATGCTATGCATCTTTTAGTTAATTCTTTTTGTTGAGGGATTGAATAATTTCGAATCGTTGTTCTCGTTTTCTATAAAATCAGTGAAATGCCAACAAGAAAGGTAGTCTAAACTACCAATCAAGTAAAAAAGTTCTTGTGTTATTCGTTCAACGCTTTGATTGTGACATATTATTTTGGTATTAGAACAGTTCATTTATTTTTCTTGATCTCAGAAGCAGTAGAAACGATTGATTCGGACCACGTCGGTGGTATCAAGCATGTGAATTAACGAGGAGAGAATCAAGGATTTGGAGATTAGTTTAAGGGAAGTGCAAGACGAATTGAAGAAGTTGAGTCAGGGGATGGCCGAAAGATTCCAGACCCTTGAGGTGGCCTTGAATCGGTTTGGAGACGGTGGCGACTATTCCCGAGGGAGGCAGTAGTGGTAGTGCTCCACGTACTGGTCGTAAAAGAGAGGAGTATGATTAACAGCTTCAAGCAATAAACCGTGCAGAGAACACAAATCCTAAAGTGACTCCACTCCTACTTCTTTATTGTAGAAAAATATAAGCGAAACCAGGCCTTTCGAAATACGAGGACGGGCTACGCACTTGGCTTGCCTTAAGACTCTAATGCTTCCTCTGTTTTCTAGTCCCAAATGCTTTTTATTATCACTTTCTAACTCTAAAATCTCTTTCTAATTAAAGTTTCATATTGTAAACAAGGTTTTTTTGGGTTAAATAAAATTTTAAATCCATTCAAAACAGAAAATAAAAAAAAAATAAGCGAAAGTAAAGAGAATGAGAGAATGATAAAATAGAATACTTTTAGTGTACAAAAAGAATCCGGTATATTCACTTAGTGCATGAAGTATTTTGCATCTGAGTTTGCTTCATTGACAACTTACGAAATTATTTACTAAATGATGCAATGTACACCAGATGTTTCATCAAAAAATTGTGAGTTTTGTCTGAAGACAAGTGTTGTTGATTATGAGTCGTGTTGTCGCGGTAAACAAGGTGGTGCGGTGATAAGACCGAGTTGCTTTTTCCGGTGGGATGTGTATCCTTATGCTGGAGCTTTTGAGAATATTACATTGCTACCGTCTCCACCACAGTCTTTCACCTCAGCCACCGCAATCTTTGACTCCTCCTCCGGTTAGCGATCAGGCAAATACAACCATCAAAGGTAATTTCCTTCATATGATTTGAAACAAGAATCTGTTGAAAGCTTATAATTGAATCACTCATTTGCAATGCGACTTATGCAGATGGAAAATCAATTTCGACATGGATTATTGTGGCAATTGTTGTCCCTATCATCGTTATCTTGGTTTTGCTCATTGTAGTATTCAAGTGGATTGTAGGAGAAGGAAATCATATAAAAAACATGGATTATTGTGGCAGATGGAAAATCAATTTCGACATGGATTTTGCATCATGATAAATGTCTGGTATTTCCTATTTGGTATCTCCTAATACATCCTGTTTGGTATCCCCTATTTCATGATAAATGTCTTTTGAAATAGTTATACTCTAGTAATGATAATGTTTCAACATATGAAAATACCGTTTTCGAAAACGTTGTCTAATTAAGATCTACATTAACATGAAAAAGAAAAAAAATTATTCAAACAGTACGTTCTATTACTTATCATATGAAGGTTGAAATAATGCTATTTTATTTTCTAGTAATACATAAAGGGAAGCAACTCATAATGAAAATAAACCTTTAATTGAATAATAACTGAATTCGAAAATGAAATTTTCACGATCTATCTTTACTTTGCTCGTCAAACTCTTCGGAGAAATGACAGGCGTAGGTCTAGTTTGTAGAAGTAATCAAGAACACAAAACAAAAGAATAACTCTCTTTTATTACTTAGGAAACTCTCTCAAAACCTAAGCCTCTCTCAATCACTTCTCAAACTCTCTAAAACCGCACAAGTCATATCACAACTCGATATGTCCTTATATGACAAACCCTATGACCTAATCATATCTCAATTAGGAAAATACAAAGATCCTTCTAGATAACTCCTAGAGGATTTACATTTATCTTCTCATAAAACCAAAGACTTGCGGTTTAAGTAATCCTCCGGTTAAGCTTCTCTCAAGCTTAAACCAACAATCCCCCTTAAGCTTGAGATCCTTATTCACCACATCTTGCACACCTATAAGCTCCCTCATTTCCTTGAACTTAATCTTCCCAAGGGCCTTTGTTAAGATGTCTGCTCTCTGTTCATTCCCCGGCACATGCTCTACCTCTATCAAGCCGTTTTCGACACATTCTCGTATGAAGTGATATCGTCGATGGATGTGCTTGCTGCGACCATGAAACACAGGGTTCTTAGTGAGTGCAATAGCTGATTTATTGTCGATCCTTATAACAACCTTCTCACTCAAAGTTCCCGTGATCTCGCTTAGTATATCCTGCAACCAAATAGCTTGTTTCGCAGCTTCGGTTCCTCCCATGAACTCTGCTTCACAAGACGACATTGCCATAGTTTCTTGCTTCTGTGAACACCAAGATATAGGACTTTCTCCTAAATAAAACACATGACCAGCTGTACTCCTCCCATCATCTTGATCTACATCATGACTACTATCACTGTACCCTATTAACTTTGGTATACTAGTACACCGGTTGTAAGTTAGGCCAAGATTGGTAGTTCCTTTTAGGTATCTAAGGCACTGTTTCATTGCAGTCTCATGTGACTCCTAGGACTCTGCATATATAGGCTCAAAACTCCCACACAGTATGACAAGTCTGGTCTAGTGTGTAACAAGTATCTGAAGCAACCCACATTGCGTCTAAAAACCGTAGCATCAACTTCTTTCTCCTTTTCAGCTTTTGACAATTTCAATCCTGCTTCCATGGGAATATGAACTGAATTACAATCTCTCATTCCGGCTTCCTCCAAGATCTTAAGAGCATAACGACTCTGATTCAATACTATCCCCTCCTGATGCTGCATTAGCTCAATTCCAAGATAATAAGTCAACTTCCCGAGGTCACTCATTTCAAAATTTGAAGACATTTCTCCTTTAAATTTGTTGATGACTTCAAGACTTGTCCCTGTAACAAATAGGTCATCCACATACACTGCTATAATAAGGAGATGTCCCTTAACTTCTTTGCGATAGACTGATGGTTCCTTTGAACATTTTGTAAAATGTAGATCAACAAGGATGTGATTTAGCTTGTTGTTCCAAGCTCTTGGCGCTTGCCTTAGACCGTACAATGCTTTGTTTAGTCTATAAACCTTATCTTCACTTCCTTTAACTTCAAATCCTTCTGGTTGATAAACATAAACAGTTTCCTTGAGTTCTCCGTGTAGAAAAGCCGTTTTAACATCAAGATGGTGGATCTCCCACCCATGTGCTGCTGCGAGATCAATAAGGAGTCTGATTGTTTCAATTCGTGCCACTGGAGCGAATACCTCTTCAAAGTCTACTCCATATTTTTGTACATACCCTTTTGCAACAAGACGGGCCTTGTACTTATTAATACTCCCATCAGAATTTCTCTTGAGTTTGAATACCCATTTTAAGCCAATTGGCTTTGTTCCTACTGGCAAGTCAACAAGGTCCCAAGTTTTGAACCTTTCAATAGAACTTAGCTCATCTTCACAAGCGCTTGTCCACTCTTTAAACTGTTTTGCTTCATGAAAGTTTCTTGGTTCATTATTCAGACACATAAGCAATGTTTCTCCTTCTCCTTCTGCAAGTAGGACGTAGTCTTGAAGATATTTAGGTTTATTAATCTGTCTCTGAGTTCTTCTTAAAACGGGTGAATGAGGATCACTTGTTCCTGCAGCCTCATGTTCTGTTTCCTGACCATGCCCTGTTTCGGTACTCTGCTCTTCTTCAGACTCATCATGTTCAATCTCTTCCAGATTTTGTCCTCTTTCTCCAATGTGTTCAGTCTCTCCATGTGTTTCAACAGTCTGTTCTGTTTCTCGAAGTCCATGATTTCCGAAAGCTTCAAACGTAATCTTAAAGCTTCCATCACTGTTTTGCTCTGTATCATTATGTTTCCAGCTCCATCCCTTTGTTTCATCAAACACGACATCACGACTAACTACTATTTTTCTTGCTTGAGGATCGAGTAATCGATAAGCTTTGGATCCAGGTTCTATTCCTAGGTGAATAAGAACACGTGACCTGTCATCTAATTTCTTCAAGTGATGTTTATCCACCTTTGCATACGCAGCACATCCAAAGACTCGAATATGACTGATTGCTGGCTTCTTGTCTCGAAAACATTCATAAGGAGTTTTATCCTTTAAAGCTCGTGTTGTAACTATGTTTAAGAGATAGGTAGAATGCCTAATAGCTTCTCCCCATAGGTAATTTGGCATGTGCATATGTTTTAAAATACTTCTCGTCATCTCCATCAAAGTTCTATTCCGTCTTTCAACAACTCCATTTTGCTGTGGAGTATACGGAGCAGTGAGATGCCTTTTGATGCCAGATTCTTCACAAAAAATGTTGAACTCATGAGAAACAAACTCTCCTCCTCTGTCTGTTCTTAGAGTTTGAATTCTTGCTTCAGATTCTTTCTCAACAAGGTTCTTGAAGTTTTTAAACTTTTGGAAAGCATCTCCCTTTTCTTTTAACAAAACTGTCCACACGTATCGAGAATAATCATCTATTAGCACGAAGATGTACCTATTTCCAGCACTGGTACTTGGCGTTATTGGTCCACAGAGATCACCATGTATGAGTTCCAGCTTTTTAGTTGCTCTGTAAGTAGATTCTTGTGGGAATGCTGCTCTGGTTTGCTTTCCAAGCAAGCATGAACCACAAATTTCTTTTTCAAGAACAAACGTTGAAGCTCCTTGAACCAATTCCTTGTCTATCATGGCTTTTATGGTCTCTAGACTTACATGTCCCATTCTTGCATGCCATAGGCTTGATTCACTCACAGTTGTCAGATATAAGCAAGTGTTGTCCTTTAAACCCATTTTAACCTTGTATAAACGATTCTTGGACCTCTCTGCTTTTACAAGTAACTTTCCATCACGATCATGCATTGTCAAGTAGCCATCTTTCAGTCTTATGTCACATCCTGATTCTGTAGCCTGTCCTAGACTTATTATATTGCTCTTCAGATCAGGTATGAAGTAAACATCGGTCATTACTCTTGATCTTCCGTTTAGGTCTATGAATGCAATCGTCCCCTTTCCTTTAATATCAATGCGTGAGTCGTCTCCAAATCTTACCTTCCTAGTAACAGAGTAATCAAGCTTATCAAAGTATCTTCTATCACCTGTCATCTGGTTGCTAGCTCCATTATCAAGGTACCACACGTTTTCTCCATCAATGTTTGTCTCAAACTTGCTAGGAACGCAACTTTTCTCATTTAAGTAAACAATTTCATGCATCATAAGTTCATCTGCGACTTGAGTATCCTTTTGTTCATTCTCTTGTGCTTGCAATTTTAGTAAGCGGTCAGGACAGTTTGAGGCATAGTGACCGATCTTATCACATCTATAACATGTTATTTGTGATGAATCTCGACCACCATAACGTCCTCGTCCTCTTCCTCTGTAAAAGTTTCTGCCTCCACGTCCTCTGCCCCTGTATTCATTGTTGTAATCTCGGTTTGAGTAGCTGTTTTGAGAATCCATATTGGTGTACAACAGCTTGCTTTGATCCTCATGTGAATCTTCTTCTTCGATGACACGTTCTTCATAGACCTTAAGACGTCCAACTATATCGTCTAAAGTTGTAGTATTAAGATCTAATACTTGTTCTAAAGCAGCCACAATATGGATATATTTTTTCCGAGGAATACTTTTCAAAAATTTCTTAACCAATCTTGATTCTTCAATGTTTACACCTAGGGCAGATGATTTTGATGATATCTCAGATAACTTTCCTGCAAAGTCATCAATCTTCTCAGTATCCTTCATCTTGAGGCGGTCAAATTCAACCATAAGAGTTTGTAACCTAGCATCCTTGACCCTGTCTGCTCCCACATGCCTTGCTTTAATCGAATCCCATACCTTCTTAGTTGTGTTAAGTTCTCCTATTTGTAGTACTAGGGCTTCAGGAATCGACTGGAAAAGCAAAGCAGTGGCTACATCGTTCTTCTCCACATCAATCGGGTTTGATGGTGTTTCTATAACCTCCCAAGCTTTATGAACTTTGAGTGCTGACCTCATTCTTATGGCCCATACCGTATAATTTGTTGCGTTTAGCATAGGACATTTAATTGAGGAAGATCCTCCTCCTTCTTTGCCTTTTTTGGTCACGGGAATAATATCCCCCATAGCTTCTTCTCGATCTCAAAAAAAAACTCTCACAAAGCTCTGATACCAAATCTAGTTTGTAGAAGTAATCAAGAACACAAAACAAAAGAATAACTCTCTTTTATTACTTAGGAAACTCTCTCAAAACCTAAGCCTCTCTCAATCACTTCTCAAACTCTCTAAAACCGCACAAGTCATATCACAACTCGATATGTCCTTATATAACAAACCCTATGACCTAATCATATCTCAATTAGGAAAATACAAAGATCCTTCTAGATAACTCCTAGAGGATTTACATTTATCTTCTCATAAAACCAAAGACTTGCGGTTTAAGTAATCCTCCGGTTAAGCTTCTCTCAAGCTTAAACCAACAGTAGGCAGTTGCGAGAGCAAATGTAAATATCTGAGGTTACATTTATCTTCAAGCTGATAGGGTACATGCAACGCGACTCACACATCCTGCAAAATGGACGTGATACACTATTATTGAGAACCACCTCATATGATAATCTGCTGCTAACCACCATTGTGCTTCTTGGCATGAACCCTGCAAAGTCTCCCAGCACGCACTTTGTATGCAAACTAGCTCGGTGATCTTTACACGTGTAGAACCATGTACTTGGATTCGTTTCTTTCTCACAAATGTCACACCAGTATTTGCCGCTTGCCTTTTCGCCATAGCATAGTGAGAGAGGATGATCGTTTACTCTATGTTTTACCACTTGTGGTAACGTGGCGCAATGGAAGCATAAGACAAATCCACAACCACTTTCAATGCACGTAAGCACAGGAGATGCCGAGTTGTTGCAACCATTGCATTTTTTTCCTTCTACTGATGGAATGTAATATAAGGGATGATGGGGATGGCTTGGATGGACAAACGGCTCCGAAACTGAACCGCAAAGAACATCCAACTTCACATCCCCACACTGGTACATGAAACCATTGGACATTCTATGACAAGCATCACAGGCAAAGAAATCAGCAGCCCCGTTTGTAACTAAAGTAATCCGTTCATTGTGAAGCACATGCCACTTCTTTCTAGGAGATTTAGCACAACTTTCGTGAAGAATGAAATCACAATCGATACAGCCATAGAAGGATTGAAGACAAATGGGATGGGTACAAGCGCTGCACCGCTTATTTTCCTCCCAGAAAAGACCATTAATGTGAAATCTCAGGTAATGCTCACTGTGGCTGAAATGTTGTATTGTGTTGTCATCTATTACCACATATGGCTCTATATCTTCTATCTCTTCAGGCACTCCTTCGAGTTCTTTCCCGTTCCAAACATCCTTTCTAGTAGCACATTTCGAATGAGCAACATAGCCTGGACACCTCTGACAAGAAAACCCACCCCAAGTCCAATCCACTTTCCGGCGACAAACTCCACATACAGAATTCACAACACCTAGAACAGAAGTGCGTGAAACACGGTGGTCATGCCGATTGATGTTTATGAGGCGTGGAAGGGCAAGACACTCTTGATGTATCATGAAATCACAATGAACACATATGTAAGGGCTTCGATCTCCACTCAACCCACAAGCATTACATGTAAAAGAATCAAGTCTTGGGCGAAAGACGAGTTGGTGATCGTGAACTTTCAAATCCAGAATAGATTGTGGTGGTGGGTTTAAAACACAACGCATATCCAAGCTAAAGTTACAAGCAGAACAATGATAAAACAATCTATCATCAATCTTTCTTGAGCAAAGACGACAAGTTCCATCAGAATAGAACGGTGGTTGACCTGTGTGGAGCTTAAGAGGGTGTAAAGGATGGTAAGAGTGGTTTACCTCTAACGGGTGTTTTGCCTCCGGCTGATTCCATACACAATCGACATGGAAGGCTAAACCCCATTTATGACATTTGTAAGGAAACTCAAAACCAGGCTTCCCACATTTGTTGGCATCACAGTTGAACTCGATCACCTCTTTGAGAAGGGTGAGCTTGTGGGGATGCGTTTCGGAAATCTCAATAACGTCTGGTGGTGGGTACTTGGCACAGTAGAGATCCACGTCGAAGTCACAGATCTTACAACGATAGCATAGATTCACGATGCTCTTGCCGCATGAATCACATATGTTGCCTGGTTTACTTTGAAGCTGAAGAGTGTGAATGGAGTGGGATGGGTGTTCGATAGATGCCGAGTCGCCACATTTCTTGTGAACAAAGAAGTCACATATTTTGCAGTAATAGCCATCACTGATAGCTTCGAAGCATCCACAACAATCACCTTTCCGCAGATCATTCCAAGGCGTCATAGGATGCTCGTGGATCAACTGTAGTGACACTCCCTCAGATTCCAAGGTCGTCTACTACAAGATTGAGAAGAAGAAGAATAAGTTGAATCTGTGATCTCGAAATGCTATATATGCTTCTTTCAATTCTCTTTCTCCTCTACTCAAAACTCTTATCTTTATGGTAAAAGTGATCCATTTGAAAATACTCCCTCTGTTTCACAAAGAGTGTCATTTTAGAGTTTTGCACACAGATTAAGAAAACATTAAATTTTTTGTTTTTTCTAAACAAAAACATCATTAACTATATACCTAAACATAATCTGCCCAATAGTAAAACAATCTGCAGAATACTAATAGTCATAAAACATAAAAAATCATTAAATTTTGCATTGAAAACCTAAAACGACACTCTTTGTGAAACAAAAGGAAAACCTTAAAACGACACTCTTTATGAAACGGAGGGAGTATATATTAAATATTTAAATCAAATAAACTAAATAAGGAAAATGTTTTACAAGTTTTTTAATTAAATAAAATGCAAAATGTCAGCATCATACAGCAAGAAAATCCTTCTCTTCTATCTATACTAGTATTTTTACAGTCATTTTGGTGACGGGTGGGTAAAAATGTTTCCGGGTTATTTGGATATCCGACCCATTTACAAATTTTACTCATAAAAGGTTTGTTGGGTCGGGTTATATTTAATCCAACTCATACACCGGATATTCCATATTTAATAATTTAGATATTTAGAAGATTTGATTAAGATTTAGAATTATGATTCTCCTATCATCTTTGTTTGATTTGTTTTTAACTGTTTTGAATCATCATATAATACATAAAGTAAAAAAAAAATCAATTTTTTTCTGCATATACTGTGATTCGAAATTTTAAAAACGGACATATATTATCCAATTGACGAAAATGTGTGTTCAACGTTCTACATCGATTAAAATATTTAGACAATGATTCAAAATCATATCATAAATAAGATCAACATTAATAAAATAAATGAGTTTTTTGGCCAGACGGGTTTGGCGGGATGGGTTTTTGAATCAATAATAATAAAAAGATTAAAATATCATTAATTCGCCGCTTCAATACGGATTAAATCTTTAATTTTTTTTAATACCACCAATATTAGACATATTAAATCAGTCTCATTTATAAAAGATTGTATAAAACCAAAAATTGTCCCATGGTATAATGTTACTTAACAAAAATTGTAAAATATAAAATAAAAATATCTTAGAAAATGATACAATTTGCAAACTTTTATATATAATAAATAATCGTTAAATTTTAAAAATTACTTCTTTTAGAAAACAAATCACAGGACCTATTAAGAAATTACGGAACGGATTATATTTCAGAACGGGTTTATATGGCGGACGAATTTGAATCAATATTTATAAATATCATTAACATGCCGCTTTAATACGGATTAAATCCTCAATTTATTAATAATTGTCTCGTGGACTCGTGGTATACCGTTACTTAATAACAATTGTAAACTATAATATAAATAAATACTTTATAAGAAGATACAATTTATAAAATATTTTTATACTAACTTTAAAAATAAATCATCCCGCGTTGTACCGCGGGTTAAAATCTAGTAGTAATGCAAAATGTCAGCATCATCTACTAGCCCTAAGACCAATTATCCGGGATCCGCTCCGATCCGCTCCAAAAAACAGGATATCCGAGTGGGGCGGATCCAGATTCGGATAATGAAAAAGCGGATCCGGCCAGATCCGGATAATAGAAAAATTAAAGCCGGATATCCGGATTCAGGATATTTTATATTATAATAATATTTTTAAATATTTTATTACTATTATTTAAATTTTATTAATAATTTTTATTATTTTTATATAATAAGAATACTTTTTATAATATTTATAATTATTTATGTTAAATTATTTGTTTTTAAATATTTTTCTTTAATTTTATATTGATAAAAAAGAATTTATATAAAAAAAAACCGGATCCGGATATCCGGCTATTTTTACAGATAACCTAAATCCGGATATCCGGGTGGAGCGGATCCGGATAATGAAAAGCCGGATCCGGATCCAGCCCAGCCCTATCATCTACAACTTTTTTTTGATGAAATTTTGAATTTAGTAATCAGCAGAAAAGATGTAAACCATAATTTAGGCAAACGTAGAAAGTAATACGGAGATGAGAAACAGAGCACCAATCACAAATAATAGTAAGTTCAGTTTTGTTGTGTTTGTAGCTTTGTTGAGATCACCGTTTATGAATGTGACCTGCAATTTTTTATGAAGATAAAGAATCCTTCTGAAGCAATCACTTCGATGACCTTGTATCGTATCATCCCAATATATATTGTACCTTACCATTGCAATGTCTGCATGAACATCCATGTATTATACCATTAGCTAATGGCATATTGAATAGACGAAAGAAAATAAAATGAAAGCAAATTAATAGACGAAATAGGAACCAATAGAAGGTTTTGTTGGGCATAAACTCGTTGATGTATCCGACACAAATTTAATAGACAAAACTCATATTGAAGTGAAGACGTCATCAAAATCGTCAGAACAAGATGAAGTGGAGTTCAAGATCAAGTGTAACTTCATCTCCTGTTTACACAACGAATAGCTGAGTAGTAAAATCTTGAAACCCAGTTATATAGATTGGCCATCAATGGAGTCTAGTACCATCAAATGTCCTCATTGCAAGGACACCATTAATGGAAAGCAAAACAGCTTGACGCGCGCACACACAATGGCGGTGTACATTTCGATCTTACACGATGAGATAATGGCACACAAATATCCAAATCTCGAATCTGTCAAAAGGTAAAAAATTTGGAGATGGGCATATTCTGGAGTAGGAGAGGCAAGAGGAGAAAAAAAGGGTTATGAAGACGGTGAAGTAAATGGTGTTAGTGACAGTCGGGACAGTCATGCACTCATGCTTTACGAGGAAAGAGAGAGACGATAATAGATAATGGAATGTGTCTAGTGCCACTAACTTGTGTCTATCTATCCATGTATGTACTTCCCTACTTGGCCGTGTTCCAACTGCATTGGATCATGTATGGTCGACAAACATAAAGATACGAATGTTGAAAACTACAAAGAGAATATTGTTGACAAAGACGAGTAGATAATAATTGATAAAGATGGTGCATTAAAATAAAGTTCAATAAGAGAAAGAGACAATTGATATATGCCCATAACCAAAGTGATAAGCTTTATCCGACTTAACTATACGGTTAATCAACTGTTAAAAGTGAAACCCAGTTCGAATTCAGACCCAAAACTCTAAACATATAAGGTTAAAAGTTGGAAACCATTTACTCTGGTTTCTTGAAGGGTTCAGGATTGTTGTCAGCGTTCGAGTCATTGGTCTTCAAGGCATCGTCTTTTGGTTTCTCAGTTTCACGAGGACTGGTCAAATTCTTCTCAACATCCTCCTTCTCTGTGCATTGGGCAGGTTTTTCTGTGACTATTGTCAGAGTTGATACCTCATCCCTTGAGGCATACCAGGAATAGCCACAGTCAACACACTCCAGCTAGATGCAAAAACAGAATCAAAATGTGATTACTAGGATCCATAGATTTATTTGCACAGTAAGAGAAGAAGATCATGATGTTATAATTTATATAATGTCCCTGACTCGTATACACACACTACCATCTCTTTCTTATGTCGGTTTTAGCAAATTGTATTTATCCAAGGATAGATTATGTATTAAGGAAAAGCATAAAAACCTGATAGCGATCTCCATGCCCAGCTTGGATGACATCTCTCAGGCCAACCTTTAATTGATTGCATCTCGAGCATCTTACAGAAGTCATCTGCTTACGGAACATACACACGACATAGTCATAGACATTCCCTAACTGGAATCCAACAAGCTAAATGAAAACTTCAATTTTCAGAAATTAAAAGACCTGCATTCGATCCGCATCATCAGGCTCCTTCTTTGTTGTTTCGTCAGCAGTTAGACCCTCCTGAATCCCAGAAAAACCTCACTCTTTAGTCATTTTAACAGGTAAGATATACTCATTAATATTTGCTTACTATGGAACACAGCAAAATTCAGAAGAGATCTGAAATGGAATCTATGCAAGTGAAATTAAGGAAAGAAGACTGAAGACAAAAAGGGGAGAGAATTTGGCTGCCATTATGTAACATAACAAGTTCTTCACCTTTAACTCAGTGGGTGACATGTTCAAAATCTTTGCAGGCTCTAACTCGCCATTGAGCAGTCGTCTAGCCAGCAGTGCAGTGTTCTGCAGACAAAACAAAAATGAAATTACTATTAGATACTTAGAAAAAAACTCTAAAGTGATGTTTACGGCAAACTGAGAATCTCCACAAAGGCTCACAAATATAGACAAGCATATTATTGTTTGGATGTGAAGTCCAGTAATAAACCATTCATAAGGCATTCAAGTTTTACCATGTCTTATTAGATTCATATATCAACTGTCTTAAAAAGGAGCATACATGCACAAACATTCCAGTATGGTCAAAGAATCAAGAGTAGAAAATTAGGGGAAAATAGTAATGTAATAGCATGAATGCAGATTCTATAACCTTGAGATTGAAAACCAGTGTCCTCATCTTTTGGTTATATTTCTGAAAATCCGATGCAAGAGAAGCATGTGAAGCATTCTCAAGAGCACACACTGGAGGAACAGCAGCATCTGGCCAGAGAAATTTTTCATCCTGTCAATCAGTTTAAACAAAAGAGTTATTCCAGCAATTACTGAATTCTAAATTATAATTAGATAACCAGCATGTAATTTGGTCAATTTTGGTAGGAGGAAATGTGAAAGATGACGGTATGAAGGGGGGGAATATTTCGCGTGATAAAAGTGATTGGAACATTTAGCTAGGACCTTTCCATTTTCCGGCTTTGTATTTTTCCCATCCTGCTCAAGATGAGATCCATCTGAACCCACCTTTGCTTCGTCGCCAGCCTGCTTGTTCTCAGGGATATAACATATGTGATGGACTGCCTCCAGAAGCTTCCCCAAACACTTGTCACGATGAGCATCACCTGTTAGTGAATCAAACTTCTCTAAGATAGCATAATGCTCTGATGAAATACCCGCACCACTTCCGGGAGTTTCAGCCTTTAAAGAGGAGTCTTCCTCCCTTCTAACATCCACAGGACTTATGTTCGCTTTCCGAAAAGATCTTTTGGCCTTCGACACATTCTCCTGGTCAACAAACATTTCCTCAGATTCAAGGTCCGGAAGATCACCCAATACCGACATGGTCTTGTCGACAAGAACGTCGATTTCATGTTGTTTTGAGTCTTCATAGTCTTTGTCAGTCAGCTTCCACAGCTTCTTTTCAACAGTATCATAGACCTTCCGTACAATAAATCCAGGGTTATTTTTGCGTTTCGGAAGTTGTTTATGGGCCGGGACAAAATAAACAACACATCTGTGCATCACAGATTCTGCTGGCACTTCATCACGATGGAAACTGTAGAACAGTTCTCGTGTATCACTTGATTGCCAGTTTCCACCACCCCTTTTCTCTGCTTCTTCGGGGCGATAAAACCACTGTCCCAGAATCATCATACTTCCATCTTTAGTTTGGGTAATATCCTATCAAAGAAGCATATGTCATTATTTCAAAGCGGATGATACAACAAAAACCAAAAAAAGTGAATACAGAATCTAAAACACCAGTACCTTAATAATTGCAACATATGGTTTTTGACTTTTGTCCTCAGGAACCAGCAGCACCGGATCCTCCTACACAAAAAGATATTATAAGAGAGACTAAAAGTAAATGGTCTCTAAGTTCTCAAGCATTAACTCAACCAGACACTATATGAACACTCATGACAAACATGTATACGATCCTAACCATTCAGATGCAAGAGATATCATTATGTAAAAGAAAAACTTCCAAAGTCTCTAAGCACTGTATAGTCAGAAACATTCCTATGACACATCGATGAGTGTCCAACAAATGACAACAACCAGAAGAGTATAAGACCAGTTATTAATCTATCTCTAATTCCCTACATCATCTTAGATTGTTAATAAACAACAACCGTGAAAACCCAGTAAACCCAAAGAGTTGATACATTCTAATGTCAAAGAGACATCAAAGTTCCTCAAAACCCTAGATTTCAATGTCCATAACAATGTAATAACAACAAGCAATGCAGACTAAATTACGAACAAATTCTCAATTCCAAATCTACAATCTCAATTTGATCACAACAATCAAACTCCACCAAAATCAAAAACCCTAAAGATAAACAAAACTCACCAGATCATAAGTGTTACCATCATACGCAAATTGCTTGAAATGAGTTCGTTTCCCTTTTCCTTTACCCGTAACAGTAACCGATTCACCAAGAGGACACGCATCATCAGGCTTCTCTTCTTCTTCTTCCTCTTCTTCACCCTCCGGTGGCGTTCCTTCCTCCTCCTCCTCCTCTTCCTCCGCCATATCCTCATCATCATCCTCCTCCTTCTTCCCCTTTCTCTTCCTCTTCCTCTCCGCTTCCTTCTCTTCAAAATCTTCGTATAGCTTCACCGTCTTTCGCTTTCTCCGTTTGCCCAAAGTTTCCTCAGGACTCGCTGAGTTTCTTCCCTTAGACCTAGTAATCGGTACATCGTCTTCTTCATCACTCGACACTTGAGCAAATCGCCGAGACAACACCATTGTTTGTTTCCTCTCCGATAAATCGGAAAACGAATTTAGTAAATATTTGTATCAAAAAAATTGGATCTTTTTAATAATATGAGAAATGGTTTTTCTGCGTCTGCCTATTTATAATGTTTTCACTCATCTCTTTTCTTTTACCAATTTAATGAAAAAATTTGTTTACAACTTTGTCTATTTCATAAATTAGTCTCTTTTTTGTTTATAAGGTTTTTACTAGTAAACTAGATTTTAACCCGCGGTACACCGTGTGATGATTTAATTTTAAAGTTGTATAAAATATTTTGTAAATTGTATCTCCTTATAACATATTTATTTATATTATAGTTTACAATTGTTATTAAGTAACGGTATACCACGAGTCCACGAGATAATTATTAATAAACTGAGGATTTAACCCGTATTAAAGCGGTATATAAATATTGATTCAAATTCGTCCGCCATATAAATCATTTCCGAAATATAACTCGTTCCATAATTTCTTAATCCGTCCTGTGATTTGTATTAAAAAAAAAAGGATTAAATCCGTATTGAAGCGGCGGATTAATGATATTTTAATCTTTTTATTATTGTTGATTCAAAAACCCGTCCCGCCAAAAAACTCATTTATTTTATTAATGTTCTTATTTATGATATGATTCTGAATCATTGTCTAAATATTTTAATCGATGTAGAACGTTGAACACACATTTTCGTCAATTGGATAATA